GAGGTTTGTTCAAGACGATGCACCAGAACTTCTGTCTTCGCCATCCGCCGATCGTTTGATCTCTATCATCCTGTCTTGCCGTTCATGGGATGGATTTGGCCCAAGTTTCGAGAAAGTCGTTGAAAGAGTAGCGCAGTCTGAACCCGAGTCGTCAAATGCGCATGCTGTTCAAAAACTCCTCTCTACACTCGATTTCAAGGAAGTAGATGACAAGAGTGGTCTTGGCTCTCTGATCGCGCGTGCCTTAGACAGGGCTTGTAGAGGTAGCTCTCTACACTGGTCGATTGTTATTGCGGTGTTACAGAATCAAACGTCTCATGGCGAGCTCACAGAGTCAATATTCTTGTCAATCATTGATGCATTATCGGATGAAAGCAAAGTGTTCGATACCTTACACGGGGTTTCTCAAATTACAACTACCGTTCCAACTGCATTAAGAGAATTCCAAAGTGGACCCCATGGTTCGAAATTAACAGGAAAGTTGCTTTTCCTCGCTGAGTCTCCATCAGAGGAAGTGGCCAGTCTTGCAGAGTCATTAAGCAGAAAAGTGAAGGAATCAGCAGTCAGTGGAACAAGTGCTAGGTCAACTTTTGAAATTCTTCAGCACAATTTTAATAATGTAAACGAGGAATCTCTCTCGTGAGTGCCTTCCTTCCAAGGGAAAAAAATTGATTGGCTAATATAAACAGCATTGGATCTCTATTGAATGTTGCAGAAGACTTTCTGCATAACACGAAGCCCGAGGACCTCCAAAAAGTGGTAAAGGATATCCTACCTTCTCGTCAAAATTGGGAAGATGCCCTCGAGCCCTTCCTTGCACTCCCTCCCCGAATATCAACCGCTATTACAAGTCCGCTTAAAGGGACAGTTCATATCATCGACCGCGATGTGTCGGACGAGACTAGAAGGCGCTACGAGACGGTCCCACGCGACTCCAGCCACTGTTCCTCAGCTCTTCGACTCGCCTATTTCACCATTAGAACTCTTTCGTCCTCTGATGTCACGAGCCAGCTTGATGCAGAAGAGCTTCAAACTCTGTTCTACTACTTGCCTCTGGCCGTACAGCTGATTGACGATGATTTGAGCATCGACAATTGTAATGGCATAACTGGAGTACTGCTTTCCGAGCAACGAGAAGACTATATGGAAATTGTCAATGATGGCCGCAGTTTGATCAATGGATGGGCACACTTGGAAGAATCCGTTGCACCGTCAATTACTGCGTTTTGGGAAAGTAAACTTGAAAGCTTAACTGGTACCTCTCCCACCGACTATCGAGTTGGCGAGGCTTTCGTAAAGATTATGGAGGGTCAGGACTCGACCAATTCCAAGTCATCGGAAGAGGTTGCCAAACTTTGCAAGGATGTGCGAACAGGAAATGCTATCCGCTCGGCTTCTTGGGTGGCGATCTTGCGACACGCCATTCTCTCGAACCCCGCAGGGACACGGCTATGCAATGAACTTGTCGCTGAAACCACAGGATTGAAACCCAATGATGAGCGAAAAGATGGTCAGTGAGAGAAATACGTTCGTTATCTGTGCATGCTAACAATGTGTATAGGCCTCCGAAAGCTATCACTGCTCAACCTTCTCGTAGTAGGATCGGAAGAAGTGATTGAGTCTATCCCGACCCAGCGCGTCGTCTTTCTAGTCAAGCACCTCATACAATGTCTGCAGTCGGAGAATATCTCCCTTGGCATCAAGTCTGAGATATTTCAAACCTTGTCATTTGTCTTACCTTGCATTCATGAGATGTATGGTTCGCACTGGGAGGATTGTCTGGACGCTCTTAGCACAACTTGGACGGAAGCAAGTGGCAGCGATGAAGCTTTGCCAGCTCTACTAGGATCCTTCAGACTTTTTGCTCGTCTGAGGTCTATTGTAGGCAATGAAGATAGCAACGACGATGTGAAAGACGCTTGGTCAGATCGAAAGGCCGAGTTGTTCAATGACTTGACCGCAACGATCAAGGGATTTGGTCAGTATATGCTCGATGATGGATGGACATATTAAGCTAACGAAACAGACTCTTCTATTACCTTCTACCAACCTCGCGATGTCACTGTAGATCTCCTGTGTCGACTGATCAACAGCATATCGATTGAGAGCCTGGAAGACGTGAGCAGGATCTTCCCACTCCTGACTGCGCAGAGCCGCACCGTGCAACGTGCCGCCTATACTGTTCTACATCGGTATATTCCAAGTGTTCAAGAGCAGGTTTCTTTTGATGTGGCATTGTCGAAGACAACCGTCAAATTACCTGATGAACTCCTGTCTCTGTTGCTCGAAGCGCCCACTATGGATTCAATATCCTTATCGTATGGTGATGACAAGGTCTGGTCGGAAATACGATCATATCTTTTAAGCTGGAAGATAGTTTTCGATCATTTTGTTAACGCAGTATGTATATCCGCCGGTGCTTATTGGAATTATATCGTGGCTAACGACACAAACAGTCTTTTGCTGTGCAAGAGAATTACGTATCTAGTATCAAGGAGAATGATGTTTTGATTCCACTGTTGGAATTCACATTCGACTTCCTCCAGCAGTCTCACCAAAAAATGGTGGACGCGTCTAAGTTCGATATTCACTCTTTCGAGTTAGACCAGTCGGAATCTCAGGAGAAGGAAATCCAATGGCTCCTCGTCCATCTGTACTTCCTGTGCTTGAGATACCTGGCAAACATGACCAAGGGCTGGTGGATTGACACCAAGAAGCGTACTAAAGGACCGGTGGAAGTCTGGACTGAAAAATACGTAAGTGTGCAGAATAGCATATGTTGAGGCGATGGTATCTAACTGAGTATAGATTTCACCACTGATCGTGGAGGATGCCCTGCAAGGGATTACCGAATGGATGTCAACGCAAGACCCGAACGAAGAGCGGGCGTTGACCGTGAAGATCTCGCCCAAGACTTCTGAAATCATTGCTAGCATTCCAGTGGATGAGGAGTCACCCCCGGTTGCCTTGTCCATATCCCTTCCGCCGGCCTATCCGCTACAACCCGCTTTGGTGGTTGGTCGGAGTCGAGTGTTGGTTGATGAGAGAAAATGGAAGAGCTGGCTTCTTACCATTCAAGGAGTGATCATGTTTGCGAACGGCAACATTGTGGACGGACTGTTGGCCTTCCGGAAGAACGTCCAAGGTGCCTTGAAGGGGCAGAGCGAGTGCGCGATCTGCTACTCTGTCATCTCGACGGACATGCAGACTCCAAACAAGCGATGTGCCACCTGCAAGAACACATTCCACTCGGTGTGTCTGTTCCGATGGTTTAAGAGCAGTAACCAGAGCACTTGTCCACTGTGCCGGAACAACTTTGTCTATGTATGATGACATATCGATGTATAGTAGTTGGTCTCGTTGGGCATTGAAGTTCTGAACAAGATCTTTTTGCTCGTTGTTATAGAGAAAAGGGGATCACATTCCATATTACCTATGGCCTTATGGGCATGTATGATATATCTCGATCAGCTTATGGAATGGTCACAATTACTAGGAAGTACTCTTCTGTATTCCAGCTTCTCTATCCTCTTCTACCAGTATCAGTATGATTCTCCTAGTGATGCTCAGTCTTGGCAGATTAGGCCTGGATACCATTAGTAGGGTGGTAGCCAACAGTGAGGGATAGATAATATTAAAGATTTACATAGATGACTTAGTGCTACGTACTCGATTTCTTCGCTTAACTAACGTCATAGTTCAATTTGTGTATTTCTTGCTGACATGAAGGGTTTCATAAATGGGCATAAATCGACGTTAATGAAGAGTTTAAATCGTCCAACCCCACCGCCCGCCGCACTCTCCTCACAAAGAACTTGTTTCCCCCCGACATGTCAGCTTCCCAAATCCCCAACCTCAATACTCTTCGTCGGGGTGGCGGTAGGGGTCGGTTCAGAGGACGCGGAGGTGCCGATGGCAGTCTTTCTGGTGGGGGGCATGGACCACGCGGGACAACGAGCAAAGACCGTGTGGTTCAAGGTACTAACAATGACGCCAGTGTCTCCCGGCTGAGTGCGGTGGCATTGGGTTATTTGCACGATCCTTTTGCGAAGACCGTACTTGGCCCGGGTTTCGAGACGAGAAGGTTGCCAATTATCAACAGAGGTAACCGATGCTCAGTATACCGTTTAACGACCGCCGATATTCATTCCATTTAACCGCCTGCAGGTACTTACGTCCGAACCACCGCGATCGACCACCTTGTTACCCAGTTCCTCTCCCAATTGCCCCAGACAAAGAAACAAATTATATCCCTCGGTGCTGGTACAGACACACGCGCCTTCCGACTCTTTACATCGCAGTCTCCCCCGAATCTGATCTATCACGAGATTGATTTCGCCGTCAACACAGCCGCCAAGATTAAGTTTATTCGCTCAACGCCTCTCCTCCAACGGGCACTGGGCATTGGGCGACCGGAAGACGCCACAATTTCCGATGCTGGAGATGCGCTGCACACGGATGCGTATCATCTCCACCCGTTGGATCTGCGCTGTCTGAAGCGCGTACCAGTCACCTCAGATGCGGCTCAGCCTGACTCAAGGGTACACCTGCGGGGGGTGGACACGACGTTACCTACACTTTTGATCTCGGAGTGCTGCCTGGTGTACCTCTCTCCGAGTGAAGCAGCAGATGTCGTAGGTTACTTTACGGAAACTTTGTTTCCTGGTACAGGTGGTAAGTCAAATGCTGATACTGCCGGTGACGCCGGGAGAACTGAGTCAGCGACACCACTCGGCCTGATTCTCTACGAGCCCATTCGTCCGGACGATGCTTTCGGACGGACAATGGTATCCAACCTTGCGACGCGCGGGATCCACTTGCAAACGCTCCATCAGTACGCATCACTAGCGGCGCAGCGAAAACGGTTGCGAGAACAAGGCTTCAGCGGGGGCCAAGCCGCGGCAGACGTGGATTCCATCTGGGAACGATGGGTGAGTGAAGAGGAAAAGGAGAGGGTATCTGGACTCGAGATGCTAGATGAGATGGAAGAATGGAGATTGCTGGCGCAACATTATTGTATCGCGTGGGGCTGGCGCGAGGGGTCTATAGGAGTGTTTGACGGGTGGAGAGGAATTGAGGGACAGTCAGCGGATTGACCCAGCAGGCTGACTGTTGCCATGCCTTGGAAGTCGACGATATCCACTAGCATCGAATGGCATGACTTGGATATTGGTGGTTGCGTGCATTGGCACCAGTGGAATCCTTAGGGCCAAGCACACGTTACTGCTGCCTACTCCACACTATCTCTCAGAAACTATCGAACAATTAGCCGAATGCTACCCAGCGAAAGTAGTGTCCAAACAGAGTTTGGCCGGTCTCTTTCCACCATTGGCCCCCTTTTCCAACGCTGCCATTCGGATCCATTCTTTCGCATTGGCTTGCCCTCAACGCTGCTTTGCGGGAAAACTTGCAGTTGTCGGTGTCGCTCTGCTGATCTTTGTAGAATTGTGTGGTCTGGACCATGTTTCTTGATGATCAGCACCTGTCATTGGGGTTTCCTTCCAATTAACATATCCAAGCACAACACAAATCAATTTGCATGATACTTGACATCTGATAGATCTGCTGTCAATATAAAGGCTCCTTACTGAGGGTGCAACGTGACAGCCTTGTCAACCCCAACATTTCAATTAATTAATTAATTTAAAAAACTTCAGGTCACCCAATGAGTGAGACAAAAAGGGTCCTCGTCCAGAAAAATTGCATCAATCAAACAGGATTAACGAAATATCCCCACGGACCAAGTGGATCCTCTTATCACGAACTGTCGGGGCCAAAGGACGAAGTGCCGACGATGATTGGTTTTACCCCTGACCCGTTTGCCTTTTCCAGGCGGAGTCACATCCCAATGCAGTTTAAGGCGACTTCAATAGCTTCGAGGTTATCCCAAATGGGTAATCCTCTAGTCTGTTAAAGGTTGCAAAAAGCCTGAACCACCACATGCCCGGGATCCCTTTTTGGTCCTGCCTCTGCCTCTTCCTCTTTCTTCTTCTACCTCTTCCTCTTTTCCTTTTTCTTTTTCCCTTTTCTCCCATCGTCAGGATCCGAATCTCGCCTGTGGGTTGGTGGTGTTTCCTCACTTTCAGTCATTCTTTTAATACTCACCCTAGTCTTTCGTTTCTTGACCTACTTCCGTAGCGTCAACCACCCTCTCTACCCGGTCCGAACAACGATCAGTACCGTATATAAATTCTATATATATATAAAGCAATACAACTAGTCCGAAATGAAGCTCACTATTGCATCGTCCGTACTTCTCGGCCTCATTGCCGCCGTTGAAGCTGCAAAGCACGGACATGGGCACATCCACAGTCACCAACGCGATGTGAACTCCGCCGCAGAAATGGAGGCGCCTCTGGAGAAGCGAGGAGGGAGTTGTGAATTTCCCAAGGATGCCGGTTTGGTGGCCGTCACTCCGAACCTCAAGAATGCCGGTTGGGCCATGAGCCCGGATCAGCCATGTAAGCCCGGTAATTACTGCCCGTATGCTTGTCCTCCTGGTCAGGTATCAATGCAGTGGGATCCCGAGGCTACCTCGTATAGTTATCCCATGTCAATGGTGAGTGTCCCGTGTTGATGTTGTGACCGAAGTGTATACTGACGGATTTGGCAGAATGGCGGTCTCTACTGTGATGAAGATGGTAAAATCCAGAAGCCATTCCCTAACAAGCCCTACTGTCAGGATGGCACCGGCGCCGTGGGCGCGCGTAATAAGTGCAAAAGCCAGGTCTCATTCTGTCAGACTGTCTTGCCCGGCAATGAAGCCATGCTGATTCCGACCCTGGTGGAGGAGCTGGCCACGCTCGCTGTGCCTGATCTCAGCTACTGGTGTGAGACTGCCGCCCAGTAAGTACTCCGATTACTGCATGCAACAGCATGTCCTGACAACCCTAGCTTCTATATCAACCCTCCTGGCTACGATCCCGAGACCGCGTGTGTCTGGGGTACCTCAGACGAGCCTTTAGGCAACTGGACGCCTTATGTTGCCGGTGCCAATACCGACGGCGACGGAAACACTTTCGTCAAGATTGGTTGGAACCCGATCTACCTGGAGCCAACCACTCCTTTCCGTGACGTGGTGCCCGACTACGGAGTCGAGATTGAGTGCGAGGGTGATGGCTGCAATGGTCTGCCATGCAAGATCGACCCGGCGGTTAATGACGTCAATGAAGTTACTGGTAGCTCTTCAAAGGGCGCCGGTGGTGGTGCCTTCTGTGTCGTGACGGTGCCTAAGGGCGAGAAAGCCAATATTGTCGTATTTGAAAAGAGTGGCAGCAGTGGTGGTCAATCTTCGTCGTCCACGCCCGTTTCCACTAGCTCCAGCACTGTCAGCAGCAGCTCTTTCTCCTCTACTGTCAAGACCACGAGCAGCACTAGTACCACAAGCAGCACTAGCACTACCACTTCGACAACTCCCTCCGCCACACCTACATCCACAACAGTGTCCGAAACGAGCAGCGTTTCTAGTACCCCAAGCTTGACCCCAACGGCCACTTCGACTCTCATCTCAACCCCCGGTGTGACCCCCTCTTCCGGCTGGGTTTCTAGCTCAATTCTGGCCTCGAGCGGCTGGCCTGTCCAAAGCCCACAGGTGCTGGCTGAGACCGATGCCCGATCGTATGCGATGTCCACCGACGGAGCAGCTGCGTCATCTCCCTCTCCGACCCAAGTCGACAAGGAAAATGCGGCACCCGCTGCTGGCGCGTCGATGTTGAGCTTGGTCGTTGGTCTCATCGCCGCTATGGTGCTTTAGACACCACGTAAGACGGAACCTTTCATCACCATTTTCACTTCTCACTATTCTTTTTTTTTTTTATTACCTTCTTAACTCCGGGATACCCGTTTACGATTTGATGTTTCTGTGTCTTTATTATTATTGACTGACTGATTGTATACGATTCGCTCTTCAGCATTTCATACGATTGATGGGTGGACACTTTTATTATATTCTAAGTGAGAACTTATACTACTACTATAGTGTACAATACTATTGTATGCTTTTGAAAGTAATGTTTAAATATTGAATTCTGGAATTCAGAGTTAATCACAGCGTCTCAGCCCTGGCCTTGGGGTTATCCTGTTCACTAGCCCTAAGACAAGATCCAGCTTCACCCAAGTAAAGCTCTTCAATAACATCCATTATATTCCTTCCATAAAGCCAGAAAGGTAATCTCCAAACCAATTAATGAATTTAATGAATACGATTGCAGTGAAAAGCCAAACAAAGAAAAATACCGTGAATGGCTGTTCCAACTCTCCACCTTATATATAGTAGCCTTCCCCAACCCCCCGGCCAACAGAAGTTGATTCTTATTCTCATCTACTAGGCCCTTTCAAAGAACTATGTGACAACTGGGATCATCACTTTGCATTTATAATGGCCTCCTTTGATCTTTCTTTCCCTTGCCCATTGAGTCCATCCGTCCAAGCATGTCTTCCTCCTCTTCAGTCAAGGATAGCGTCTACGCTTCAGCCTCGTAGGCCCATTCCAAGCACTCTTCTGCATCCACTAGACGTGGAGACTGCAATAATGGAATAGGCTCCTCGTTACTATATATAAGGCATGATATTCGCTTTCATGATTACTAGACACCTGCTGTCCCTCGATCGATCGCCGACTCTTCACAGGCATATAATCTTGTGGCTCATGTAACGTCAAATAATACCCTTCCCAGCCTGAGGTTGTCACAAGGGAAAAGCTCAAGTTCCCGTAATGACTTTTGGGCTTGATATTCGGCAATATCGCCTTAGGCAACGGTGCCACTTGCAATCGCTCCCTGAGCCGAGCAGATTCTTCACTTGACTTTTACCTGAAGTCACTCGAGGCCCAAGTAGCAGATTATGAAATGGACGATGCTGAAGGTGCTGTGTTGGGCATCGGATTGGACAGATTTTGAAAAAAGCTTCCCGGGCTGCCATCGACACCGCTGGGTTCACTTTATGATTGGGTTATTGCATCGGCCAACAGCTTTGTAGATATGGGGTTCACCAGCCCGGCTCAATTGACTGTGTGCGCTCAGCTCGGCGAGGCTATCCTCGAGACTGGAATTGCAGGAAGCATTCAGTATGATTGTTATCATATCTATAGCACCGCAGAGAGCTATGCAAAACCTATACATGGTTCAGGTGTCTTGGCATATCAATTACTCCCCTTCCAGAGATTATGAACTCAAAGAAGCATGTAGCCTAGCAGAGAGCATATCAACAGCCTCTGTCGCCGGACGGTATATAGCTAGCCAAAGTTGGAACTAAACCCTGGAACGAAACATTAGCGAATCCCCTGCAATCTATCAAAGAGCGAAAGCATTTCACTTCGACTAATTCTTGGAACTAATAGGTTCCTTCGAACAAGGTTTACTAGCTGGCCTTCTCAAGGAGTCTTCTTCCATCCTCAAACGGATGGGCAGACAGAACGCATCAATCAAACAATTGGAATTATGATCCAACATCTCCCTAGTAAGAGCCTTCTACTGGCACTTGAAAAGACTTAAAAAGGCCAGAAAGTGTCGAACCTAAGGATAAAGGGTTCGAAAGCGCCGTCGAAGTTTTGATGAGACCTCCATTCAACTTGTTACTTCGCCGTCATCGTCTCAGGATGTTGGATGGTTGAACCATATACCTTTTACATCGACTATCAATAGCCCACCAAATGCCTCCAGCACAGGTCTCACATAAACTGCTTTTTGGTGTCAACACCAGGCCGTCCAGGAACCTGGCTCCTTGCTCTATCGGTAGCTATAAAGGTCCTCAATGATCAAAGCTGGTGATGGTGCCCATCAAGATACTCAGTGTCCACCAATAATCTTAAACAGTCTCCGAAGGACATCAGTATCACTTCTCTTACACTTAGAAAAGTCGACGATTAACCGCAGATGGCCAATAGAGAGAGAAAAAAAAGGTGCGATGTTTCCAGGAGCATATCTGACAATCGTGGAGCAGTATGCCAAACATACTGGCGCCAGTCACGGTATTGGGAGGCTTTAGAATAGTCAATCCAGAGGACTACGGATTGCGAAAATTTCATTTGGCGTCAGCATCTCCAAGGCCCGCTCAAGGAGTACAAGAACATCGCTGCAGAGTAACTTAAGGACTTCCCCTCAGCGCGGCCGAAAGACACTCTGGCTCCTGAAAGTTGGTCAGTTTCAGGAAATTACCAGCTGTTACAGAGCAACATGGCTTAGGAGTCCTTTCTATCAGAGAACCATGCTGTAAATGGTGGCGCTCCAAGCAACAAGTTTATCAGTCCCCACCCTCTCCTCTTGCTTGCTTCATCCCCTCTCCCATAGTCTGCACACTATCGTCTCATTCAATCCCAAAGGGATTCCGTCTCGCAGATAGCGGGATTTTCGGCTCTCATACACGACAGATAGCACGGAAGTATGTCGCTATCACTAACGGCCAACTGCAGGAAGTTACTACATCTACAATAGATGCATTCGCGGAATGTAACAAAGGCGGTCGCAGTAAGCATTCGCCAGCAGTTGATATGCAGGAGGCTGCACAGGTTGTTGCATGGGTTAAACAGAACCCTAATGCCGATTTAAACGTGACAGCTCTTCGGAGTAGTTGTACATACTTTCCAACTTCAATTTAACATTAACAGAGATGCTGGCAAACAAGCATGCAGCCAAGGAGGGAGCTGGAGAAGGGGCTAAAGGTAGAGGGAGGGGACAGCAAGGTTTGGGATAATGTCAACGACAACTGCTTATATAGGTCAGTATGCCCTCTAAAAGCCTTTGTGGAGTTCCTACTATACGTCTAACTGGTATACAATCTTCGCAGCAGTTACCTGCTAAAGACTGATTTGTGAAAGACCATTGAGCATCCAAGGTTCTGAAAGACTTTCCTTTGAAACTGTAGCTTCACTCGCTGCTCCTGTCTCTTATCGGATCTGCACTTCTTCTTATACCCGTTTGGCTCGGTGTTCTTATTGGCTACGGGTGGTCGTGTCCGCGCGACCTTGATTTATGAGCTACCTCAATCTTGTTGGTACTGCAAACCGGGCCCGGGGTCTATCTGAAGAAGATGAAGGCTGGCCTGGGAGACTTTTCCTAACCTTACAACTTCAACAGAAATTCCTACAGGTATAATATTAATAGCCGTGAGAGTTGCCAGCGCAACTTACTTTGAATTCCATCCTTGGAATTAGGCTTTATCCACCGTCCACCTGGTGTCAGGCACCGGAAAGACACATTGGTTGCTGAGAGTCCTGTCCACCTCCTTGCGCTACATATATCACGCCACGGGCAAGCAGTAAAGGGTCATCATCACAGCATCGCTGAAGCAACTAGCTGATGATGACACTGCCTTGACCATGAATGATTGATCCACTGACATGCTGTACCACAAGAAGACGCTTAGTGTACCCAGGAAATAATCAAGCTGTCAACACCTCTGCTTCAAGCAGATGAGGCTAGATGAAGCTCATATTATAAGCAAAGCCAACAAGGATCTTATTCAAGCAAACAAAATTTACACTGAAGACAAGATTGCCTGGGACACAGCCGGGAGTCAACAGCCAAGGAACTATTCATCGATAAGAACAAAATGGAAATCGTCTTTTTAAGCGTCCTCATATACTTCCATAAGAGACAGATTGACTATCCACATCGCATCCCGGATAATCATATGGTTCTATTATGAGCTCAGTCTGGGTTGTGTCATCCTACAGATAACTTGACCTACAGAGCAGAGCTATAGGAGAAACCCGCGTCACACAGCATATTTTTGGTCTACTTCCAACAATATTATGATAACGAGAAGATCAAAACTGTTACTAGATAGGCCTTCGAAAGACCACTAAGGCTCTACGTAAGACCGAGCTTAACAAGCCTATACCGTGGTTGGCACTCTAGGACACACGTTACTAGGATATGTACGGAGGCATACAAGAAACTACCAGGAAAGTTTGGAGAGATGGCCGGCAAGCGGTTTGAAGCCGTGGATCTTTGGAACGTTTCAAGAATGTCACCGGTGTATCGGTTCTCCGAGTTAATCAACCGAGCCTGTATTATGTCCGTGATTTACGTCCTCGGGGGCAAGTCGTATGGCGTGGGAGGCCCATTGGACTGCGGTTCTCAACTCTACCTAGCTGAGATAGAGCTCGCGGAGCCATCACCGGTTGCTCCTGTGTAAGATACGTACTAGGAGAGATATTGAGATTGATATGCAGACACTTAATGCACTGCCGATAGCTGCATCTGTTCTGGAAAGTCTTACAGAGGAGAGAGAGGCTATCTTTTTGAAGCAAAGGAACCTCAAAGCCTTCTAGATGTTCGCTGTGATACGTCAAAAAGTCCCTCTTTAAACAAATGGAGAACGCCAAGCTTATGGGAGTGCTTCTTTGATGTGCCCAGGCACATCTCACACGCAGCCAAAACTGACGATATAACCAGGATCAATCAAAGGGCTGAATACACCCGGAATAAGACATTGATACCGAAGGCTGAAGAGTGGAAAAGATGGCTAACGTCATCGATTCCAGACGTTATTGCAGACATCAAGGTAGAGGCAGTTTTCGAAACAAACTCAAGCCTCTGCCTAGTCATAGTAAATGAGTCAACCTGGCCTTTCCTATCGTCATTCATGAGCAGTGTAACATGGCCATGAGAACAGCAAGAATGATGTTTCTGTTATTTATTGATGAGAACTCAATCATCGACCGGGTTTGAGATTAGCTCTGCTACCCTCATAAGCAGCGAAGGAATTTTCTGGCGGAATATGAGAGATCCATTCCTTGTCAGTGACTTTCGACTCAGGATATTTGGCGGCTCGTTCCCCCTGCCTGTCGAAAGGATCCTAATGGAGTTGAAAATCGCCATTAAAGCCGAAGTGGGACATAGAGGACGTGCATATCATTCGTCACAATGACTACGATATACGTGGCACCCACCAAGAAGAAAATCGGAACAATCACGACTGGAAATCTGACAAGGTTCGAAACAGAGTGCTACAGCGTAATTGTTCCGCCAGGATCTCAGGTTACGCTTGGTGGTAAACGCAAGGACCCTTCCAAGCCTCTTTACCGATGCAACCACCGGCATGACCATGTCGTCAAGTTGGCGTTTCAAAAGGGCATTTTTGATATATATAAAGAGTACTATACTGTGATCAGCGAGCAGCTCGGAAAGCAGTATCGATAGGAAATAATTCAAGATTATGAAATGGACAAACCTATCCAACTCTTTACTTTGCCGCTAGCTGGTTAAACTATGTTAAAATGTATATTCTGGCAAGTTTACTTAAGTTATCAAGTTGATTCTTTTATAATCTACTAGTATGAATTCCTGAACTGCAAAGACATCTACGTCCTCATTTGCCGACTACTCTAGCTCCACCATCTCTCTACTTATTTATCCGTGTCGACTAAACCTGTGTGATCTTCTAACTGCTCATTAAGTGCCAGCATCGGCCACAACCATGGAGCCTGCCGTTCTTCTACCCATCACAACATCATGACAACCGGGCCAATAATTACTATCAAATAATTAACACACATCATCCCACCCAAAGCAAGAATATTAATATGAAAATCATCCCCGATAAGAAAAGCACGCACACAAACGTCATAAAAATCCACGCATTACATGGTCGTCCCCTGAATGCCGATTAGGGCTTTGACGTCATGCCTACGCCAGACTTGGCATCTCATCATACATCATAGTATACAAAAAGCACCCTATATAAACAATGATGGCCGTTACAATCTCTCACTCAAGAAACAATTATTCAAGACATAATTCCAAGCTCTCCATAAACCCCCTTCCGACCAAAACAAAACAATCTAACTGAAAATGTCCTCCACAATCAGCACCAGCAAAGGCGAACAGCCCCTCGACCCGTACAAGGCCAAAAGCCTCGAGGACCCGCCCCTGCCCCAAAAGATCGAAGACCTGGTTGACTTCATCTCTGAGGCCAAATTCAGCATGTTAACGACCAAGGTCTCCGGGTCGGAATACCTAACCTCGAGATGCATGGCGTTGGCTGGGAAGGTATTTCTTTTCTTCCCTCTTTGCCTTCGCTCGTTCCCAGTCATAATATCATATACTAATATTGAAATAATTTGAAAAAAAGGAAAACGGTGGCATCGACCTCCTCTTCCACATCAACCTCTTCTCCAGCAAAACCCTTGATATCACCACGCACCCCCGAGAAGTGAATATGTCCTTCTTGGACCAAGTTAGCGGATCCTGGGCGTCTATTTCGGGGACGGCGTCCATCGTTGCTGACAGAGCTACCATTGAGAAGTATTATTCGCCGACGTTGCCGGCTTGGTTGGGCGATCTTGGTGACGGGGTCCATGATGGGAGTCCATCGGATCCGAGGATTGGGGTGATTCGGTTGGAAGCGAAGTTGGCGACGTATGCCGTGGCTACAAGGGGTATCTTTGGGAAGGCGGTTGAGACGATCAAGAGTGCTACTAAAGGGGATGTACCGGCTATCAATAGTATTCGGGAGTTGAGTGAGGCGGAGCTGGCTGAGTGTGAGTTTTCTCTTTTACCCTTTCTGTTCTTTTATGGGCTTTCTACTTGGGTGTTGGGGAGTACGTGCTGACTGGTTTGTTGATAGGGCGCCGGACGCATAAATAAGGGCTTTTCTTTTCGCTGGGCGAAGGGCTTCTTATGATTGATTATGTACATGTCTTGTGATGGGTCTCGGTTCGCTTAGGTACAGTATTTAGAATTGAATCGAGAAATTAATGCCTGGTATGGTGGAAATAATCGAAATGATTGATATTCAAATAATACAGGGGGCGCTAAAGGAACGAAACTGTCTACCCCAGATAGAAAACAAAGGAAATGTAAGAGAAGTCGAGATATCGTACAGTCATCATGTGGGTATCTTGTGTTTGTAAGTCCAATTATTTCCGGTACGAGCTTAATGTAAAGCCATCCCATTAAATCTAGGTTATGTTAGTAGAAGCCATAAAAGCGGAATAGGTGAGCTTACCAGTCTCAAAGGCATCCGTGCTGGCACGCGCCCATTGTGGAGAAGCATTGCGATATTCTTGTTCGGAGTCGCTTGAAGTTTACGATATGCCTCACGGATATGCTTCGGTTCAACCGGTGTTCGGCCCTCCTCAGGAGGATCGAAGAGACCAGTTTCACGTTTACGCTTCTTAGTATTTTCGCCTGAACCATTTTCCGCACCTCCTCGGCGATTCTTCTCCCGGTCTTCGCGTTCCTTGACCTTGAGGGCTTCCTCGGTCAATGTCTGGACGATCTCGAACGTGAGGAAACCAAGGATATCGACAATATCATCGTTGGGCTTTGATTCGGTTACGATACCAAAGCCGGCCCACTCACGAAAACGCTTGCTCTTACGATAGGTGAAGGATGCTTGACGACATTCTGACCAGAACACGTACTCTTCCTTAGTCATGTTCTTGGTTCGCTCGTCTGCTGCAGCAAGACGCTGGAGCGTTGCATAGTTCTGCTCCTCCTCCTCTTCGTCTTCCTCGTCCTCTCGCTCTGGAACCTGGACCGAGTAGAAACTGTTCACATCCCATGCGAGACCAACACGGGCCCTCTTGTTCTTGGGCTTTGAAGCGACATCTTGTGGTCCGGCGACGACACCTCCCGCAAGGGGGTCATCAGCTCCCGCAAATTCAGCAGCGTCGGCACCGCCCTTGTCATCCGAGTCTTTGACATTCTTGCGGACATCTTTCCAGGAAAGGAAAGTTTTCAGGCGCGAGACCTTGGCCTTGTCATGTCGAATGAGAAAGATCAAATCATCAGTTGAGATAGAGCGGACTCCTCGCCGTGTTGCCAGCGTTGTACTTCGTGCGAGCTGCAGTGAATGTAAGTAAACTGTGGTTGGATGGCTGAGGGTCCTCATACAATCTCAACGACTTGCTGGCGAACGATCTCTTCTATCAGAGTAGTTGTTTCCACTGATGGCTCGGCAGTCTCTCCAGAGACGAACATCATCTGGTCATAGTGTTAGTGGGGCTGAAAATGCTCCTGTTGTTTCCATATTGTTTCTGAGATAACACGTTTCGATTTGATGTAGTCGGGAAAGGCACAACTGGAATACAGGCACAGGTGGATCATCTGCGCTATCCCGATTGTTATAAAGAAGGATAGAGCAAGTCGAAGTAATAACCAGACCGCAGGAATGGAGTATTACATGGAGCAGCACCACATAGAGTACATATCAAGCAAGATAGGTGTTTATAGATGGCAGGTAAAACAGTTGCATCGCGATGGACCTTACTGTGCCATGCGAGCAGCAAGACTAAGCTTGCGATGTCAAATATACAAATGATTACACTATTTGAACGTAGCCTAATGTATGCAAGCGGTCCAAAAAGCACGTAACAAAAGAAAATAGAGACAAGATGAGGCTTAGATAGAACAAGATAAGGAATAGTATGAGCTTACCTGCTGGATTTCCTGCCGATACTTCGGAGTTCGATCGGTCGACATGTTGGCGAATCAAAAATGACAAATTAACATAATTCACAGCGAGAAAAAACAACTACAATACAAATAGATGATCGCGTTAAGACTGTTAACAACGAAATGAGTGAATTCAAGTTGGTCGCGAAAGGCAACAATGGGGATGTCCAAAGGATCCATCCCCGTGATTTGATGTCCAGTGACCTCCCCATATCCGGAACAACTCTTTACCCGCATTCCGTCATCCCGCCGCATTTGGTGGGGTGATAGCGAAACTTTTTGATTGTGATTATCACGGTTACTACACTCATTGATTCAATTCTGCCTTCTCATAATGCTTTACCTCGTTGGATTAGGTCTTGCTGATGAGACCGACATTACTGTCAAAGGCTTGGAGGTGGTAAAAAGGGCCGAAAGGGTCTACCTCGAAGCATATACTAGTATTCTACTTGTGAACAAAGAAAAGCTAGTGAGTGTCTCTGAATATAGCATATGTTATTTGTTGCTACGGAATTGTCTAACCAGGTCATCAATTGGTTCAGTAGGAAGCTTTCTATGGACGTCCTGTTATTGAAGCAGACCGCGAAAAGGTCGAGAGCGGAAGCGATGAGATTCTCGCTGGAGCAGACAAAACAGATGTCGCATTCCTAGTCGTCGGCGATCCTTTTGGGTAGGTGTCAGCTTTGCACGACTGTCATGGAAGGCGCAAATTAACGTGCGTGCAGCGCCACCACCCATACAGACCTCGTTCTGCGCGCCCGCGAACTGGGCATCGAATCCAAGGTCATCCCGAACGCATCGATCATGTCCGGCATTGGTTGCACGGGACTGCAACTGTATAATTTCGGTCAAACTGTCAGCATGGTCTTCTTCACAGAGAACTGGAAGCCCTCGTCATACTATGATAAGGTTAAGGAGAACATTTCACTGGGCCTTCACACTCTCGTGCTTTTGGACATCAAGGTCAAGGAACAGTCATACGAGAACATGGCCCGAGGACGCCTGATCTATGAGCCTCCGAGATATATGACCGTTGCGCAGTGCGCCAGTCAGATGCTAGAGACCGAGGAGGAGCGCAAGGAAGGTGTTTACGGACCTGACAGCCTCGCGGTTGGAGCCGCGAGAGTTGGAGCCCCGGATCAGAAATTGGTCGTCGGAACTTTGAAGGAATTGGCAGAAGTCGAGATGGGCGCGCCTCTTCACAGTCTCGTTCTTCTGGGAAGGAGAGCGCATGACCTGGAGAAGGACTACATTCGTGAATTTGCCGTGGACAAGGTGACCTTTGATGCCAGTTGGCAGAAGGGATACGGCGCTAGTTCTTGAAGGGGAGCTTAGCTTATAACGAGATGGAAATGAATTATAGATTCAATACGCCGTGGTTCTAATATCCAAGAATCAATGTTCACGAGCACAATAGCCGTCATCGGGCTTTGGGTAAAATGCATAGCCACATATCACTCATATAGCTGGCTCAAGCGGTCTTCTTGGCGCCGAAGAACTGCGTCAACCTTTGGGGGAAAAATGTCTAAAAATGATCGACATCAGCTCATGCCAACAGCAAGAACATACAAACCATGTAAGAAGCACTTACCGTAGGAGTTGACGGGGGTTGTGATGCACTGCCATAATCGCTAGCCTCCCCGTCTTCATCGTACATCATGCTTTCATCATCATCCTCTTCAATTTGGGGAAACCATCTCTCCGGATCTCCGTTATACACAATATACCAGCCAATCTTCTCACCGGCGGCATATTTATCCCGCATCTCTGTCAACGCCGCCATGGCATCATTATTTAGCCCTGACTCCTTAACCAGCTCCTCAGCATCCATACTAAGTGCGCCCGACTCTGGCATCGTAATCACTTTAGCTGCGACATAGGCATAGGGCTTGCTGACGGCCGCATCGGTGGTATCGTTGGGATCATACTGCTCGATAAATCGGAGGTCGGGGAGACGGGATACGATACCCGGTTCTGTCTTGGCAAACGACTCCAAAAGTAGCTGGGTAGTGACTGGTGCCTGGAGGTACTCTGCTGTTGCATCTTCCAGGTTGTGCAGGACAATGTAGACTCGGATACCCGTGAAGCCGGCGCGCGGCCACTTAAAGCCGTACAACATGTAGACTGGCATTGCTAAGTGCTAGAAATGTAGCGGTTGGAAACACTAATGGGGAAGACAATGGCTCAATAACCGGGATCGTTCGATGGAAGGTGTCATGTTAATATTGTTCGGGGAAAGACGTTGCTGCATTCATCGTGTGTGACTATGACTGCAGGAAATGTGTGTTTGCGACATAAGATGCTCATCAATCAGCGGATAAAGGCACTTGGCGCTAGCACAGTTAGTTGACAGGTCAATCCCATAATGAATGGACAGTTCGGAACTATTTATATAACCAATTCCAAATCAATGAAGGATACTATTGTCAATATTAGAATAACTATAAGATTACTGACTGACAAATTTCCTTTTTAATTGTCATTATTGCTTTGTGATCCTTCCTTAATTCCCTCCACCTCCTTGGTTCACTGTAATAGATCAAAGAAAGGCGGTGATATTCGGCAATATCGAGTCTCGGCCTTGACATCTTCAATACTCCAAGAAACTCCAAGCGGAGACCTTCGGATGCACCCAACTGCGGCATAGCCCAACGCCACAATCGATATCGGCTTACCGCTGTTCATTAAGGCGGGATGGTTCTCTCATTCATATTGGTCCAGAACCGACAGTGAGTACTTGTGTCTACACCTGAATCGAACGATCTATAATGCTGAGCAAGCGGATAGGGGCAAAACACGCCTTGCAAAATGGTATGCGCCGTACAGTGTAAGTTCTCTAGAAACCCTTCAGAAATCATGTATCATTGGCTAATATCGGTAATGTGCAGGATGAAGAAAAAGTCAAGCTCAAAGGCGAGGTTCGTGACAACTTGCGACAATACCATTGTTACCGCTGGGCCGGACAACTGACCAATTGCCTCAGGTCCATCGCCTGGTAGCACCGAGAGATCAGAAGTATCAATCCAACTTTGTCGAGTTCAAGCGGAGTACGAAGATCGTGTACCGGAGATATGCGGGGCTGTTCTTTTGCGCCTGTGTCGATGCTACCGATAATGAACTGGCGTATCTCGAGGCCATCCATTTCTTTGTTGAAGTTCTAGATCAGTTCTTCGGGAATGTGTGCGAGCTAGATCTAGTATTCAATTTCTACAAGGTGCGTTGGGCTCTCTCGGCGGCGGTGGCCATTGGAAGATATTATGATGGATCGAGATTCTGCCAAGATGCGACAAGGAGTGAAGACTGACAAATGAACGGTACAGGTGTACGCCATTCTAGATGAAGTATTTCTGGCGGGTGAAATTGAAGAGACAAGCAAGCAGGTCGTATTGACGAGGCTGGAACATTTGGATAAACTGGAGTAAGGCAGCTTTCAGCCTGAAGGGAGTGTGGATAGGATAGAATCTGTTCTGGATATTATAGCATTGAAATGGCCACGGGATGGCCATCCGGAGTTATTGGTTTGAAGGGTTAACATATATCAGGGCGCTGCGCTTGCAACTATTGCCATCCATGTTGATAGAGGGTTCTATGATGGCTTTGTTTATCTAATTTCGACGATAATACCCTATGGAGAGCAATTTTATTTGTTTACCTAAGAATATCACATCATTAATAGTTAACGTATGACGGCTTCGTAAATGGACTAGGAGCTCTTGAGTCACGTTATTTGCGCCGTGATATGACAGTTCATGGGGCATATATAAAACCGGTAGGTAGTAGGTCAACAGCCGAAATCACTGCCGTGATGCCTGCGAGCGGAGACGACATCTCACACCGGTCCACTCATTGCACGAGACTGACCACAACTGTCATTTAAGCTCAAATAACGTCCAAAGGTTGTTTCTTGGTAGTCCTCAGACCCTTGGTAAATTATACTCGAGTAGACATAGTTGCAGTGAGGTGATCAAGACGTGCGATTGCGAGCGTAATGTTAATTCTTGGCATCAATTTCCTTTAAAAGGGGACGACCTCCTGTGCTACATGAGTTGGATTGCTGGTTATGGTGACTAGTGTTGATGTTCTTCCTCTCTCTTCCTCTTTCTATTCTTTCTTAGCCTTAACCTCTTTCCAGGTGAGGTTCTCATCTCATCAGCAACCCAACCCTGCATACAGCTATTCTGGGTACTACTAGTACTAGTACCATATTTCCATCACCTGACCACCTGTTCTTGATAAGGAAGTCACTTCGTTTTTAGTATTAACTACTACTAGTATCGACCATCACATGCCTATTCGACATCACTGCAGCAAGGAGAGGGTCAAAGGAAATAACACCACCCAACTATCACGATAGTCACTTTCAACCGTGATACAAACCTGTATAGTTGGATACATACCCCGTACGGATACTTCCAAGTTTCTAGAGCCATTGCAATCCTCCATCTGATTAGCGGAACGAACGGCACACTTCTCGAAAATGGTCTTCACCGGCGGGTCACTGATGGACTCCGTACGGAGCAGGGAAAAATACGGAAGCTGTCGAAGATCGTCATAAGAAGGGGAGGATACTTGCCTCGTTGATCGAGTCCTAGATGATAAGCCGTCTTGGCATTGCAGGTACTTGATGAGATGATTAAGTCGGAACACCGAGTCGATCTCCGTCGGGCAATGATAAGCCCCAGGGTATTGATTGAATGTTTCGGAAATAAGCCCTGTAGGGTCTATTTACCTCGAATCACAGGATACCTTCATTGCCGGTGATCTACTGGAATGGTCAGTAAAGTGCTGGAAAGGATAGTGGAAAGTGCGATATCAAGTTCAGTTTGCCACATAGCAATCAGTGGGCTTGTCACCTTGGTTATCTCCAACTGAATATTACAGCTCGAGCCTAACCAGTGACAATCGACTGATCCTTTGACCGATAGGCTACAAAGCTAAGCGAATCATGTTCAACGGTACCAATGAGGATTACGATTCCTGGTACAGGAAATTGGCCACTGGACATGTTGTATCAAGTGTTCACCAATTACGCGCTATTGCCGAATAGGAATTCCGGTTGAATTGTCATCATCGGGATTCTTACGACGTCCGACGGCTGCAGTTTCCACCGAGGTGGATTGACCGCTTAGGTGGACTATGGAAGGTGGACTGTGCATCCAAACGTTAGTGGACGGACTATTTCTCTCGATCAGCACCGTTGACATACCCCAACCATGAACGGGCCTGAGGGCACAGACTTGATACACAACTGACACGGCCTCGGCAGCAACAACTTTCCAGCAATGACCTTGAACATTAAAATTAGCAACGGCCGTAACCAAAGGGGAAAGACAAGATTGGGGTAACATTATGGAGCAACCGAAGCAAAACGGAAATGAAGCGCGAATGTGATTATTGCGGGTTGTGGAGAGGCGAGAACGTTTCAAGATTGTGCATTATGCATGGATTTTGAGTGTCTGGAGAAAGGTACGCGTCGTCTTGTCGGAGGGTCCACCAATCAAAGAAGTGGAGTGGACGGGTTTGAGTTTCTCAAAGCTTCCAGACCAGAGAAGCCTCAGGCCTCCTTGTCCAATCCCCGAATTTCAGCGATCAGCGAATTAAGGGCTACGCGGCCGATCAGTGCGCTCGTCGCCGGATTTTTCTTGGCACCGTTTCCATTCTCCAGTTTATGCCCCGCCTGTCCGTCACAGAAAACATGACAATCAGGAGACTATGCCTCCTCTCTAGAGGCCAATACACGATGAGGACAGCCCATACTGGATGAATTTTCATGCTCTATCCGTACCTACGGAATCAACCAAGGAATAACCCCCACCCCCTGACAATCGTTTACTTTCGATGGGCGTCATCCACTGACGAATTGGGTTCGCCCTACCGAGAAAAGCCTCTCTGGATACTACTCTTTAACTGCCGCAACTGATTTGGCCCAAACGTGGGCGGGAGACCCGCAGGGGAAGCAGGACAGCACCTGAGAGGATGAAAGCTTCAAACCGGAATTAGAAAACAAAAGGTAAAAAGGCCGCAAAAAAAAAAAAAAAGGAGGATGGGGTTTTGCCAAGATTCAGGAGAGAGGAATTATTGATCGTTTTTTTGATTACGACCACGAGTATCCATATCGAATGTACACCTCGCGTACACCAGTACGAATGAGTTGCCACTGTTCTTTTTTAATTACTTGATATTGGACATTCTTTGGTACATCCCGGCGCTAATGACCCAACGATTATCTCCTCTCCAGTATATCTCACTTATTATCAATCTACTTCCTAGTCTCCTTTTCATCTCTTCATCAACACTTCAGGTTTCTCTCTGTCCTTCTTTTTAATCAGGCCTTCATCCTCAGAATTCCTTTCTTTTCTCTCGTTCAATTTTCTCCCCCTTGAGTCTTGGGAACCATCCTTCGTTTCTCCATTATAGACCTTCATCTTCTCAAGACCCCACTGTCTCTTGAATACACATTGTAGTACCACTTATATATACCCATACGAACCTCATTCGTGCATCAGTCACCATGTCTTTGACCTACTCGGACAACCTTGCTCCCCAGCCCTTGACCGATGTCTTCACCGATGACACTTGTATTGACAGGCGCAAGTGCCACCGGACTGTGCCCATGAAGGTGCTGGCACTCGGCGTTGGAAGAACGGGAACAGCGTCTCTCCGCATCGCTCTGGAGCGCCTGGGATACCTGAAATGCTACCATATGATGTCCGCTAGTGTGGAGAACCCTCCCGACTGCTTGATGTGGCACGATGCCCTCCTCGCCAAGTATGATGGTGTGGGTGAGTTTGGAAGGAAGGAATGGGATCAGTTGCTGGGAGAGTGTCAGGTGAGATTCGGACTATCAACCAGGTAGACCATGGATTTGTAACTGATCTTGCTGTGTATAGGCTGTCTGCGACTGGCCCGCCTGTGCTTTTGCTAAAGAGCTAATTGAAGCCTACCCTAATGCTAAGGTCATCTTGACTACTCGTGATGTGGACTCGTGGCATGCGTACGTTGACACTGGCATATATCTGAGGCGATTTATCCGCTAACTGGTATCCTGCAGATCCGTCATGAAGACTGTCTTTTGGCGTGTGAGCGATCCTGAGCACAGCTTTGTTTCGAACTTCAGCTGGGCTGCCAGCATGTATTACCCTATGTTGAACAAGTTCTTCGAGACCTTCTTCCGCGGGGACTTCCCCAACAAGGGCAAGCAGGTGTACCAGGATCACGTCGACGAGGTCCGTAGCCTGGTCCCACCTGAGCGCTTGCTGGAGTACAAGATTAGCGACGGCTGGGGCCCTCTGTGCGAATTCCTGGGAGAAGATGTCCCTGACACTCCATTCCCTCGTGGAAATGACATGGCCGACTTCTTCAAGCGTTGCCGTACCCGCAACAGGCACCAGATGATGAACGCTGCCCTACAAGCTGTCACGATGGGTGGAGCGCTACTGGCAACCGGACTGGCCGCTACTATGGCTTTCAAGCGCTTCTGTCGGTGAACATCTTTTCTTCTTTGTTTCGTTTTTTTTTTGGGGTGTTATGGTCTGCGCTGGGCGCAACTCATGGCTTTTCCTGTTTTGAAAACATGGTTTCCTGTACAATTTTTCTTTTTTGGCTAGCTAGCGTCTTTAGTCTTTTCTTAGTACATATAATATCCAACCAAACGATTTCATTAACTACCATGTCGGTTTGCTCCTCAATGGTTAATCCCTTGGGACTGGAAGGGAAGTATCTCTTGGCACTTGGCTTCAGGGGGTCCCCTGCCGCAAAGGCCCCTAGGAGAATTGTTGTTGCCTGGCGCCGAGGGTATATGTCCTCTTGGCATCCTCATCGATTATCCATGCGACATGGCACGGGAAGGGATGTCACACAACATCTTTCACAAAACTTGGTATAGGAAGGAACCGTCTTGGCATATTCAAGAGGGCTGAAGCGCCCTACAAGGCCAGACAATGACTGCGGGATATTTTGACGCTCACTCCCTGTTTCGACAAAGGAGACGATGGACGGAGGGATCTAGTGGGTGGCCAAGATCTAGTGGCTTTGGAGCCGTTTGCTTGGCTAGGATAGTATGTACGTCGCGGCTTAGGGCGGCGGCACTGGAAGTGGATATCAATGCTATGGTCAAAGCACTACAATTGGTCGTGCCTGTTTCTCGAACCGACCTCCTATTAAACAGCAGGCTTGGCAGCCGGCATTGACGTCAAACTAATATGGCCACAGGATCTCATCAGGAGAAGTCGAGTTTGCCAATGCTTGTGTTATACATAGTAACAGGGGTTGACTACTGGTTCTTGTAAACATAGCCGTAAGGCGTGCTCTATAAGGGCACGTGGCGAACTACATATGCAGCGAGAAGCTGCAAAGACCAGGGTGTCCAGTGCGATATTTTCTTGGGTGGAAATAAATAAATTGATGATTTGTGTCTAAAGGGCATCTATTCGGACCTTGGACAGGCCTGTCAGGGGGAAACGAAGACCCATCTCATAATCCAAGAGCTGGGATCACCGTTTGTTACATGTTATGGTACAGACCAGTGTGTATTGACTCGACGGATGGATGGATGAGCCAAGTTTGATACAGGTCACAACCCCAGATCAACATAACGACACATACTAGTATTAACCCTCCTGAAAGCCGATCTTCTGATGACATGGATAATTATAGAGGTTAAGTTCTGTGTGAACCCCTGTAACCCGTGTATGCTGTGCGGAAGAGGCATGAACAGGACATCTTTACAGTCATACACTTCATTTCAGAGCTGTGACCCATCCGTAACTTTCATGCCAACCGAAGCGAAGCCACAGCCAGACCTTCCAAGTGGATGTTCAACCCCACTCCTCAAGTCTGGCCGTGACGTGGCGCTGGAGCTCCTCTCCTCCAGAGTGGCAGAGTCGGCGCGTAGAGAAACAGCCACAGTCGGGTAGTACCTTGTTTCCTCGCGCCTCGGCATTACTTGAAACTAAGTTCTGCGGTCGGACTAGCTGATAGTGGCCTAGTGTCGGCGTTTAGAAACATCGAAAAGAAGAAAAAAAGAAATGTTTCATGGTGGGGATTACTGGAACGGGTTCGTACAGGGGGTAATCTATACCCGACGGCACGGCAGTGTATTTCTTTTCTTTCGTACTTTACTCGCATCTAGGACAGATGCGGCTTAGTATGGCTTCTACATATCACCAACTACGACAGGACCTTACGTAGAGGACTACGTATTCTTTGCACCGGCTAATATCTAGTCTCTGTCGTTTTTACCTCTCGCTAGGTGACGAATGACAGTTTGAGTTTGCAGGACTAAGAGACGACCATTCTCTGCGTGCGTGATCAGCCACCATGGGGATGACGTTGGGTGGCTTGATGCAGAAAAAGGCTGCTGTTAGGGGAATCGACTAATTACCGGCATCGTCAGCATCTACCGATAGCCCAGAAGAGTTTACGAGTCATTGAGTTATGAAGGGCGAATATCTATGTTTCGGAAGAGGTTGGAAAACTCCCGGATTGGTTGAAGTATCCGCAACTAGACAACCATCTTAATGGCTCTTTGTTTTTTTTTTGATGGGAGACTATCATGCCATGGCCGACTTCGGTGGTCACTAAAGAGACTGTGTGCGACAGACCGCGCGATGCTATTATACTACGCACAAAGGAGAGACTAACATAGACGCACTGACTGGCAATGGGTAATGGATGTCGGTCACCTACTAGTACTAACTACCGGCCACTCACCAATGAAAGCTTGCGCATGCTTCACGTACTCCGCATGGCCCAAAGAACGATCAATCCCATGAACCCGAACTTCCAGGTCCACTTGGGCAAAGTGGATGCCAATTGGAAACACTCCTGACGGTCTCAGCTCTTTGAGTTACGATCCGGCGGATCCTCTCTTCAAAGTATCGTGCACTCCCATATTCTTCCGCCACCACTAGATTTCATGGGGTCGTGTGTCCCGTGTCCATAGAAAATTCCCACTGTGTTTGGATCCCTTATTTCGCTCGGCCTTTCTCTTCCCAGTGCTCAGGGACGAAGTGGTAATGAGAAGGATCGATGCTGGTCGTTACTGACACCATGCCGGGTGGATCTGCGTCTATGTCTTCCTTCCGCATAATGGCCTTTCTTTTGGTTTGGTTCCTCTGCTGTTTGCCGGGGATCGTCGCAGAAATAGATTCTATATTTCGATCGGTAAGTTCACAGAAGACGGCTTGTGTTTGATGGGGTTGTCCTTGGAATTAGCTAATCGGTCGGTCCCATTCCAGAGACCCGATCTATATCCCCCGGTCCTCACGATAGAACACAGCATTCCCGACAAACTTACTCCAGGATATATCTTTGTTGGCCCGTATCAAGCGGATAACTCAGGTCCTTATATTTATGATAACCAAGGCGTACGTCATATCCCATTTTCCATCAAGATGCTCTCCCTGACACTGTCGCAGGATCTAGTATGGAGCGGCTGGGGAAGCTCCGGTCCGGGCAACGCGCACGGCATGCATGTATGCAAATACAAAGGGGATGACCATCTTTGCTTCTTCCAAGGTGTTCAACAAAATGGATATTGCCGGGGCCATGGCGTCATCATGGACAATCAGTATCGCACCGTCAAGACTGTCCTCCCCGGGGGCGGGATGGCGTCGAGCGATATGCACGAGTTTTTACCCATTAACGACGGCAAAACGGCACTATTGACGGTGTATCAGCAGCGACAGTTTGACATGAGCTTATGGAATGTCAAGACTGGTATGGGTTGGTTGATGGAGAGCATCTTCCAGGAAGTGGACGTGGAGACGAACGAGGTGCTGTTTGAGTGGAAGTCGCTTGACCATGTTGACCCTACAGCTAGCTACACCTATCCTGGCCACACTGACACTTCGGGAACGGGGCTGGACCCGCGCTCCCCGTGGGATTATTTCCACATCAATTCCATTGATAAGAATAAGGATGGTGATTATCTGATCTCATCACGACACACGTGCGCGATCTATAAAATCTCCGGCCAGAATGGGTCGGTGATCTGGCAGTTGCATGGCGCCAACCCGTCCTTCACGAATCTCAACTTTAGCTTCTCCCAGCAACACGATGCACGATTCCTGAACGAAAACGGTACCCACACCTTGCTTTCCTTGTATAACAACGGCTTCAATGGGTTCAACAAAACACACGAATATTCCTCCGGTATGCTCATTTTGATCGACCATGTGGCGAAGACAGCCACTCAGCTGCGCGATTATGCCCCTTTGAACAAGGACATGCTCAGCTCGAGCCAGGGCAACATGCAAGTGTTGCCGAACCAGAATGTGTTTATTGGATGGGGGAACAATGCATACATATCCGAACACGACCAGCACGGCAACTTGCTACTGTGGGGATACATTGATAAGGACAAAATCATGAACTATCGTGCCCAGAAATTCCAGTGGGACGGGATGCCGACGGACGTGCCCGCTCTGTGGACATATTCGCGGTCGACCGAGCCGTTCTCCTCGCTTACCTTGTACGTAAGTTGGAACGGCGCCACACGAGTGCGGTACTGGCGGTTCTACGGGGCGATGAACATGACCGGCCCGTATGCATTGTTGAACCAGGTGACGAGGAAGGGATTCGAAACGAGTTACACGTTCCCGCACTACTACCCATGGGCGTACGCGGAGGCCGTAGATCTCGAGGGCAAGGTGTTGGGCAAGTCACGGCATAAGTTCACATTCACGCCTTCCGAGGAACTACAACAGTACTGCGCGAACAACATGTGTGAAAATGCTCCGGCGTATGGACTCCCTGGCGAAGAGGGAGCCGGCGCATTCATCCCCCCAGTGGGTCTTATTACTGTGCCATGGGTCGACCCAGAGAACCCGGAAGCCCATTACGACTGGGGTGAAACTTCCGAGTCCGCGTCACAGCCATTGGATGAAGCCAAAGAGACATTGAAGACTGCATACGGTGAGCTTTCCTTCCCTTCCTTCAGAACGACAAATTGGAGATCTTGAAACTAACCACCGAGGTGTTCCCAGAGCGCGGATGGTTTGTCCCCGTGCTGGCGGTTGGTCTTGCCGCGATTGGGGTTTACATGGTGGTCCGAAAGTGTCGACTGCAACGCCCTCATACCTACCCGGTGAAAGAGCGCCAATCATTAGAGCCATTGGACAACCCTGTCGACGAACGAAGACAGCCGGGCGAGATGAGCGATATGCCGTGGTGGCATTGGCGGCGATGGACCGGAGCATCCGACGGACCACACTACTTCCCCTTGACGGAGCCGGGTGCTTCGAGAAGGAACGAAGATACATCCTAGGGTTAGGCTTTCGTAGCCTGACACCCTATATTACTTGTGTTATATTACTTGTAAATTAGTGTTTCAATAAATGATACCCCAATATCATCCATGTGCAGCGTTGCTTTGAACAATCGCAAGAAACACTGAAGTATCCATACATAACACAAGACACTCAGATCCCCCGGTGCATGGATAACAATACCATACAGGGATAGATTACATACGAGCGTCACGGGGTGACAAAACACAGGGCCGAACCACTCCTCCGACCAGTAAACTAGTTCTCGTAGTAGGTACTTGTATTCGTACTCCATGCGGAGCAGATTTTCCGCTTAACCGGACAGAGTCCAATCAGAAAACGTGGCATATACGCTTGATGATAAACCGAGAACCCACAGACTACAAAAATAAAGAAAAAGCTTCCGCCCTACGTCGCGGATGATGTATGTTGATGTCGTACTCGTTCCTGTCATGAGGGTAAGGAAATACGTATGCTTTGGGTCAGTCCAATACTGTCAGCCCTGAAAAACATTTTGCGTCCTCATGAAACGTTCCAAGTCAGAATGGTAAACCATGGATGCGTTTCGGCTACTGGTCGGAAGGAATCGTAATTGAAACGAGTGATAGATTAATTAAGGACAAGAATTGGAGGGGGGAAGGGGAATTGGACCAAAAGAAAAAAGAAATTATGAAAAAAAAGATGTGAGGGATAAATTTTCGAAAATAAATTTAAAAAAAAAAAAAAAAAACATAAAAGAAATAATGCAAAATCAAATTCATGAATAATTTTCAAATACTCATCAGCCAAGCGGTGGAGACGAGCGTCGCAATCTCCATGCAGTTGTCGATCGAAAGTTAAGTGTACAGTCAAGTAACGAATGGTATTGGATTTGAATCTTTCTCCTTTACTACTACCATCGCCAACCTCATTCTTTTATTCCCTTTCCCTTATCGTGTGCGTGTGTGTGTGTGACTTCTCTTCCTCTTCCCATTCACTCTTTTATTGCATTTTTTAATTTGTGGTTATTTTATTTTACTTTTCTGTTTAGTTGCATTTGTGTGTCTATTGATCAGTTGGATGATCGATCAAAGTACACGCATGCGGTCATAGTTTCCCCCCCCCCCCGGCTTATCTTCAAGTCGATATACTAAACGAAACTACTATTCTGGGCCCCCCTCTTCTCGAAATCCCACGGACTCAAATTCCTTGACGTAGTCTTCCACACTTGGCGTCCTATCACAGCCTCTGGAAGATTTCCGCCCTCGATGCCTGTTCCAAAGCTTGAGCTACAACAAAGTAGTCGCCTGAGATCTATCTCAACGTCGAGCAACAACTCTCCCATTCCCACCCCCGCGCTGACACCGACACACCAACACAACTTTTCCCTATCTAACAGCAAAAATCGGAATGCCCGTCACACCCGGACCACTTCTTGGACATCCGGTCACGACGGAGGCGAGCCCTCTCCGCTAGATTTCCCTGCACAGCACCGTCGTCGTCGCGAGTCCAACATCTCCCTCGCCGACCTTTCTGAGGGCTCATCGGACCGATACGGCGACGACTCCGACGATAGGATGGCCCTGAGAAACACCTCATTCGAGCAATCCGGTCATGCCCGCAACCGTTCACAGAGCCACACCCAGGCCTCCTTCATGCAACCACAGCAGTTCTCCGCTGACCCGCCTCCGCGTCCAGGGCCCGTCACTTGGATGACCCTGCCGCGGAAGAAGCAACTCGCATTGCTAGGGTTGTGTCGTGTATTTGATTTCTTGCAGATTGCCTCGTTGCAGGCGTACATGTTCTATCAGCTCAAATCCTTTGATGAGACCCTTTCCGACGCAGATGTGTCCACCCAGGCCGGTATCCTCCAGGGTGCCTTTACCGCGGCCCAGTTCGCCACAGCGATTCCCTGGGGTCGAGTGGCTGATGCCGAATGGGGTGGACGGAAGTTCGTCCTTCTCGTTGGCCTTTTGGGTACGGCCGTGTCATGTCTGGGTGTCGCTTTTGCTACGTCGTTCGCGCAGGCCGTGTTCTGGCGTTCATTCGGCGGTGCCATTAATGGTACGGTGGGTATTATTCGGACCATGATTGCCGAGAACGTCAAAGAGAAGAAATACCATTCCCGCGCGTTCCTGATTCTACCGATTGGATTTAACGTGGCTTCCTTGTTCGGACCTGGTGAGTTTGCCCCTGCTCGGTGTACATGAGTAGCAACTAATGGATTCAGTCATGGGTGGTATGCTCGCCGATCCGGTGCGCAGCTATCCTACGTTGTTCGGTCCCAACTCTTCTTTTGGCGGGGCGAATGGCGTACAATGGCTCGAGCGCTATCCTTATGCATTGCCGATGTTGGCTAACACTATTTTCCTCTCCTTTGCTGCATTCTGTGTTGGGATGGGGTTGGAAGAGGTAAGGTTCATCATTCCACGGGCCATAAGCCGAGCTAATCTCCGAATCAGACCTTGGAAGCTTGCAAAGGCAAACCTGGCTTGGGTGTTTTCACTGCCAGGGTCTTCGCCCGCGGTATCCGTGCCGTGGTTCCTTCTTCGTCCCCGTTGTACCAGAGACTGCCTTTCGCCGATTACGATGAGGAAGGCCCTCTTTTGAGCACCCACCGCGACCCTACTGAGAGCTACGAACTGGAGGAGAAGGCTGCCAAGCCGTTGCGCCACAAACGCACGTTACCTTTCCGCAGACTGTGGACGAAGAACGTGCTGTGTACGCTTTTGGCGCAGGCCTTCTTCGATTTCCAGATGGGGTAGGTTTCATCATCTTACGTTCCTTTGGTACCTCTGCTGACCCATGCAGTGCATTTAACAACCTCTGGCTGCTCTTCCTGTCATCACCCCGTTATGATTCCAATGACCCCGCCGCCCCTGCCCAGAGGCTGCCATTCATCTTTACCGGCGGACTGGGTATGTTGCCGCAGAGCGTCGGATTTGCCACGGCTATTCTGGGTATCATCGGCATGCTCCTCCAGTTCACCGTGTATCCCGCAATCAACAGCCGCCTGGGAACAGCCAAGAGTTACCAGTACTTCTTGACCTTGTTCCCCCTGGCGTATGCATTTGCCCCGTACATCGCACTTGCCCCGTCCAGCGCACCGCCCCCGGGTCAGGCCAACGGGCCGTGGGTGTGGTTTTCTATCATTGTTGTCCTTTTCCTGCAAGTCACAGCCCGTACCTTTACGTTGCCGACCTCGATCATCTTGCTGAACAACTGCTCGCCACATCCCTCGGTGCTGGGCACCATCCACGGCATTGGCCAGTCGGTGTCCTCCGCATTTCGTACCATTGGACCTATTTTCTCCGGGTCGTGGTACGGATACGGTCTGGAGATCGGTACGGTCGGGTTCGCCTGGTGGCTGATCGCCCTGGTGTCCGTTTTTGGATGCGTGGCGGCCATTTTTGTCTACGAGGGATCTGGCCATGAGATTATCCTCCCCGGAGAGGAGGACGACTTCCGGGACCGTCACTAATCGGATTGGTTCATTGTTTCCTATTATTTGCATTCCGGTCTCCTTGGCTTTCTTCATTTTTTATATCTTTGTCTCGTTCTATATTGGTTTTTTTTTTCTCTTTGCCTCAACTTACTGTACATATGGGGACACATGCATAGTTGGTGCCCGGTTGGTTCTCTCGTTTCCTTTACCACTGTGCCGGTCTGTTCATAGCGGTGCTTTCATTGCTCGGATACCTTTTCATTTCTATTCTGTGACATATGCTCGCTTGCTCCTCTGATGTATGATGACAAAAAGAAAATTGCGGGAGTGGTTCGATAGATCGTGATACATAATACATAGAATCTCTCATGACAGTGCGTTCAGGATATCAATATCGTAAGCATGTAGACCAGACAGGAAGATAGAAGGGATGATAAAAAAAAAACAACACAAAGAGACTACCTCTTCAGCGCTGCAAAGCGTCTGGTCAACTCATCCAATTCCGGAATCCCTCCTTTGCTCGTCTTGGAGGGACTCCTGGGCTCCACCTCGGCCTCCCCCTTCCCATTCCCATCCGGAACCTTCACGCGCGGATTCGGGTTATCAGACCGGGGTCCCGGCGGCGCAACACTGACCGGACTCTTTCCAGACTGCAGCCCCTTCGGCGGCGTAGCACGATTCAACTCCGCCGTCTCCGACATCCTCCGTTCGACATCAGCCGGCCGACCCTCCTTCCGCGGCGTCACCGGTACATCACCCCCAGCAGTAGCATCATTATTATCACCACCATCCACGAACTCCGTCGGTGCCTCTCCCAACTCCTCCGCATCCCCTCCCCACACAACCCCATACGCCCTCGCAATCTCCCTCAAATAACTCTCCACCAACTCCTGCGACGGCGGTCGCACCCGCAACCCCTTCACCAACCTCTCCGGAACCCTGAGCCCATCCGCCTCCGGAAACCGATCATCCTGCGCAAGCGTCATAAACTCCTTCCCATACCGATCCGCTAACAATTGCCTCAGAATGGTTAACTCCCTCACATCGGCCGGAAACCGGGGATACGCATAAAAAATCGCCGCTGCGGCTTCATCCAACGCGGAGTCAATATACGCCTCATCCCCGGCACTCTGCACTCCGGCGGTTGACGACGATGTGTCCTCCTCCTTCTTCGAAGCCCCACCACCACCAAAAAGCGCCCCAAACCCGAACCCCGATCTCTTCCCACTCCCAGCAGCATCGCCCTTACCAGTGGTAGGCCCAGAAGAACCAGATCCCGATCCTAGACCCTGTTCTTTCCGCTTCATCTCTACCCACGCTTCCTTGGCCCGATTCCGAGCCTCAACACCCTTCTCGCTGAACGCATTCTGATCTAGCACGTTTGCCCGCGCAAGGATCAGCTCGCAGTATAACTCCACCATCTCCATGACTTCGACGGCGATGTCGGTGGCGATGACATTTTCAACGCGGATGCGGGCGCTCGCGTCTTTATTTTCGGATAGGAGCTGGGAGAGTTCGCGGCGTTGGATTACGGAGCTGGCGGTGGATTTCTTTTGGAGGAGACGAAGTCGGGGGATAAGGAGGTGGAGGGTTGAGGTTAGTTTTGTCTGTTTGGGTTATGTTAGATTTGGTTTTGGTTTGAGGTGTTTGGGGTGAGGTGGGGTGTTTGGAGGGGGACGACGGACTGTTTGGGGGGTGGGGGGCATTTCTGTCTGGCCTTTCTTTCTTTCTTTCTATTTTTTGCTCTTTTTTCCGGTGGTTTAGTGGGGAGTGTTTCGTGGTGGAATGATTATTTGGTGTAAGGATGAGGGTTGTTTGGTTGAGTTGATTGATTGTATGGAGATTGGTTTAAGGTGGGGAGTAGGAGTAGTGCCTAGTAATGGTACCTTAGTTACAGTGTCGGAGGGAGTACTATTCTATGTCATCATCTTTGGGGCTATGGGACTAGTCTGAATGAGGATTAGGGTGATTGAATGGAGAGGAACTAGGCCTTTTCAGGGTTAGGATGGTTGGGTCACTCACTCGCTTTGATGTACAAGTATATATGGAGTATATACTATTACCAATTACCACAAATAAAAGGAGAGTTATCTGGAATAGGATACTGTAAGTAAAACCAAATCCTAGCGTGAGAGTAATGTAGACTTACTGTATATAGCTTAACTTTCTCTCTTCGAGCAACTGTTCAAATGAAAGCAAGACATCTCGTTTATAAGAGCCCAACCCTCAGTCCAATCTCCCCCGATGTTATCGCAGCAGGAAATCGCTACACAAGTCTCCTCTTACATAGGCTGGCCCGAACAACTGATACAAAAAATAGGATTCTACAAGCATCCCTTTCTGTATGTCAATTGTTTCTCTGTAGTGACTAGATATCTCTCTTTCTAATTAACCGATCCCACAGAGTTGTTATCTCTCTCATCGGATTCCACTTTCTGTACTACCGGACCTGTCTACTGGTTTGTACAGTGGATACCTGCTATCTACATATTTTATTTCTAGTGTTTCTCTGGTACTGTTTTCTCTATTTTCTAGTCTACCGTGGAGAACGACGAGAGAAGATCATTCAGGATGCTGGATTATGACTAGTACACAGTTCAGCAACATAGCAGTATAGCTATAATATAAGAGGATCTCCAAGGAGTGTCTTATTTACAAAAGAATACCCTTTCTATAACTTATACGAAGTAAATATCCTTTTTTTTTTTTAAATCGGCTCCTCTTTGCTTTGATACAGGAGTAATATATAGTAGATAAAGCAATCTTTATAGATATCGATTTAAATATTTGATAATAAGGAATTGTTCTATATCACAGATCTTCTTAACCCTCAAAGCGTAAGCTATTACCTTTATTTCCTGTCGGTATTGCTTATACAGTCAGTATCTTTTATAGAACCCTGCAAAGCGTGTAGTAAGATATCAAACAACCAATTACCTAAACGCGTCATCAGAAATAAAACATATCTAATATTCTTGAAGCTCTTTACAGTACACAAGCCTCTCTTGTATTGCGAATTCCACTGTGATAAGACTCTATCAAAGTTCCTTCTATATAAGTATTAGCGACTCTACACCATATTATATATAAGATTTGGCTCTAGAGAGACCCAGTACTGAAAAGACTTAAGAACTAGATACTGTATATTACAAATCATCTAGAGATAGGTAGTCATGCATATTCTCACGTTATAAGGGTTAACTCAGCACGATTAATAAAGTCACTGTTAACTTTCTAGTTTCTACTACCCAAACAGTAGTCCATATATACCAAATCATCATATTATGTAGTATATCTACCAAAAGGCGACGGAGATGTCTTAACTGTATGGCTTAAGCTGATCAAGTTTCATAATCTTGCCATACAGACAATATAGTTACATGGAAATAAATCACAATAATTAAATGACTTACAATTTGAAGCCATTTAGTAAAAGACTTTATCTTAGATGAAAGTCTCAACGACAGCTATATACGTTGTTTACTGCCCATATAATAGACCTTAGCTATAGATTCGGAGGTGTTATGGTATTTTTATATCCTCAGTTATTTGTTAAAGGGATGCACGTAGCATTTATAATTTTTAGTTAACCTGCCGTTCATAGTTGTCAGCGTAGCTAAGTAATTACTCTCAAAAGTCTTAACTTCTATCTATTGCGTGCAGTAGTAAAATTCATTATGATTCTCTCCTACGTACTACTATATAATTGACTAATTAGCGAACTGCTCTCCTACGGAAGGATAAGTGTGCAGCGACCAACACCGTGACGAAGGATAGCCATTGCAGCTATGGCAACAAAGACCACAGCAATAAGAGTGTGAAGAAGCTGTTTGATTCGATGGCGAAATGGTATCAGCAACAGAAAGCTAGCAACAGCTAATTTAAACCGGGGAGTAACTTTGCGTTCCATTGCTACTTCGTCTGTGCTGTCAAGTCGGGTATCGATTCAAGTTGAGGAAGCAGAATATCCTACATCAGAAAGAAGCCCCGTCTCGAACCCAACTAGCTACTTCTCTGTGCATCATTCACATTTATCTATATTGTAATCATGCTTCGTCCCTACTACCTAGAAGAGGATCGTGCTCTGATAGCCCTAACTTCTTCCCCACCCGCCGCTCCCGATACAGCACGAAATGCTGCAAGATAAAGATAAGATCGAACAGGACTGTGATATTACCCAGGAGGAGTTTGGCGACATTACCAACAGTGCCCGACCAGTCCGCCTGTAATGAAGAGTCCAGCACCAGCTGCATTAGCGAGAGTGCCGCGCCCGCCAGATCCAGCAGGATAGCGCCAATAGAAAACCCGGCTGTCGATTGCCGCCAATAATTCATCACTGCTTGGGGGGTGTATTTGATGGCTGTTAGGAATACCTTAGCCATGCCCATTACGTAGACCTTCATGTGAAATATCTCAGTTAGCAGTTTACAGTGGTTTCCATCGGCCCTGGGGGAGGGGTGCCTTCTCACCACGTCAATCCATTCCCACGATGCCGATACCAGAACCCGCAGAGTGGCGAGGGATACTACCCCCATGTAGCCCAAAACGACCACGAGAGTCAAGTTACTCACCCGCTGCGGCTTGGACTCGAAGTTCCAGAACCGCGCGCAGAGGAAGTGGCTCCCGAGATAGCAACAGATTAAGGCTCCGTGGAGGGCGTAGACAAAGTCGTTCCATTGGACGGTTGGGGTGGGGCTCTGGGGATGTCGCTGGGCATACTGGGCGCGCACGACTGGTGAAAAGAGGAAGCAGGCATTGAATATGGTGTATGAGGTCAATCCGAGGAGGTTAAGTAGAGCAAAGTCGATGGAGAAGCCGTCTGTCGAATGGCGGCTGTGATTATTCAGGACTTGCGGGTAGAAGGACAGAGACCATAGGATGAAATAGGCCCAGCCCAGGATCTGGGAGATGCTTTGTGTCCATGTGCCACTCAACATTTGGAGCTCGATATGGATAGAATTGGCACTTGAACTGAAATCGAACAGAGGGGAATGAGAATAGGTGACTGTAACTTGGGAGGAGTTATCAACATGCCCGACTTTAGCGTGGACCCGGAGTTCGGAGTTCAGCAACATGGTATCGAGCAATGCACTACGAAGATAACACCATACGATAGGGCGATCCCCTAAAGGATTAATTGACCGCGCTAGATCTGCACAATCATGCCTATCATACTCCTCTTGCGGAAGACCCTATAGGAAAGTCATTGATCAAGGGTTCTCAAAACGGCTCTTCTACGCAGGGTCATTGAAATTGGAATCACGCAGCTTGAAGTATCGGAAAGTTGGATTACCGAACTAGAAGCGGGCATTGGAAAGAGCCAAATGATAGACCCTATTAGCGAAGTAAACAAGTAAGCTTCGAACTCCTTTTGCAGAAAGCCTCAAAGTAGTTATGCGTTGCACGCCTCCGATAGAGCTTGAGGTTCCCCACGAAAAGACTCACGTACAGCCACGCCAGCATGATCCATATTGATTGTTTGTTATCAAATCTGTGGAATATCCCTTTTCAGCCAAATTTGAGAAGCGGGGGTGCTGGTTGATTTCAAAATATCTGCGGTCTCAGAGGCGGGTGACCTGCTAGAGGCAGTGGCTCCATAAATCTTGTACTATAAAGATCCCGGTCAAGAGGCATGCGTAACTATAAGTCAGATTGGGCTTATATACAGCTTTAAAAAGAAAAATAGCAGTGCGAACATGCTGTCAGATCCCATGACCTCATTTCCCCGCCCTTAACACGGCCAAGACGCGATTTCTTTTGGAGTTCCTTTGATAGAAAGGACGTCAAGTAGCAACCAGGTTTAGCTAATCGTTTTAAATGCGCCCCCCACCTTGATCATGCAGTAAATACTATTATGATAGGCAACTTGTGTGAAAGGGAATAATAGGCTGGTTTAATTATGCATCACTATGCGTCGGTGCCTTAGAGCTTGCTGCAATATAATATCACGTTTGTAGTACTATTCTCTCCTGAAGGCTAGTCAGAATATGCCATTTCCTCCACATTCTGATATACCCAATCCTGAACATGGAGATCATTTCTCATTTAAAAATATTTGACAAAAACAATGTTGCCAACTTCCCTTGCATATGCGACAGTGACCATGTCAGTAAATCAGCATACCAGTCAAACTCGGCTTTACCTGGCTAGTGCTGACCTTTGTCCCTGTGATTTGACATACATGAAGCTAGTAAGGGAATTCTAACCACTAGATACACCCAAGAAAGATCTCCAAACAAACAGTTGGTTCATTGTCACCCCGGAAGTTGAGGCACGGAATAGAACCCGAATACATACCACCATCCATAAGTATATACTACCCAAGAGACCGAGTGGTCAGGTATGCGAGGCATTAATGTCATTGGATAATTGGTTCATTTCATAAGTCAACAACGACCCCAAGACGACTGTATCGGACTTGGCATTGTATTTGTCACCTCCCATACAGAGCTCACATTTTTTTCTATATAAGGCGGCTTCAAGACGCTCCAATCTCTAAAGCTTTAACCTCATCAACAACATTTCCGTCTCGGATACTTTGATCCATCTTTTCCACCACTTTGGCTTTCTTTGCAAGATCAACATCTCAAGCCCTTCACCATGCACCTCACTACAGTTGTCCTGTTCCTCTTCGCTGCAATGGGCGCGGTAGCCACTCCCATTGAGTCCGAGTCATTCGGCCTCGATGCCAGAGCTGAGGCTAGCACGCTAATCAAATACACTGGAGTGAGTAAACAGAAACATTTCATACCTTAGGAAATAACTTGGGAGTCGCCACTAACCACTCGGAATCACTTCTCAGAAATGCACCAAAAGCAAGAACGAATGCAAATTCAAAGGCCAAACCAAAAAGAACACATTTGTCAAGTGCCCTTCATTCGCCAACAAGAGGGTAAGTTTTCATTAATCCCTAAGTGGCCACCTGGGCTGCACCCGTACTAATCTCGCTCGTTCCTTTTCCAGTGCACCAAGGATGGCAACTGGTGCCAATTCGACAGTTACTCCCGCAAAGTTGAGTGTAAGTAGATGGCCTCTACGGTAGTGAGGACATCTGGGTCGTTTCTGGATTTTCTTCTTGCCGAGGATATGCGAGATGCCGTGAGGCTCTCGGAGCCCTACTACCTTGCAGCAAGGCTCGGAATAAACAAAGAATGCTTAGTGTAGATTGGGGGCCATACTCATACGCCCATTATTTATCTAGCTTTGACTTTAATGAATTTAGTTGTTATCATGAATACACTCGTTCAGTATCTATTGGTTAGGAACTAGACGTAAGAAGAATGAAGTCACCGTAACCCTCCTGGTCCTTAAGAGATCTGTGGAATTGAAATTGGAGCCTTTTGGCCCACTTGGGACTTTGGTATGAAAGGTTTATGGCTGCTAAGGATCCTCAGATAGCTTCATTAATCAATAATCTATCTTTAGCATCCCTTTTCATTCTGTCCGGTAGCCATATCCTGTCAATAACCTACCATCCTGATCTCTACCGCGTCTTTCAACATCCGTCAATAAGGACCATCATAGTTCCAACAGCTTAGATAATGAATACACTTCCAATGTATGGAAGAGTTCCGAAACATGCATATAATTGATGTGAAATTTCAGAAGTGTTATTTCATCCTGTTCGATTTCAATACACGAAGTCCGAGATAGCTTATTAGTCGGTTTCATAACGATCATCGGTAAAAGAGAGTGACTCTGAATTCGAGGACTAGGAAAGAAGAGAAGAAAGTGGGTAAGAGAGAGAGAGAGAGAGAGAGAGATTTAGTTGACACGGTCATTTTCCACGGGGATTTCACTCTTCACAAGGTTCTTCAGGCACAACAAATGTTTATCCTGATGCAAGACATCCCCACCGGTTTGGTAAGCCCTCAGAATTTCCGAATTCCGAGTTTCCACCCCTGAGACCATGATGTCAATGGCGTCAGTAGCATACTCCTCCAGGCATTCCTCGTTCGCCTCTTTTGCCTCCTCCTGGATCTCATGGAGTCGCTTGAGCCAGAACATCCACCTCCAAGGCGTGAATCCAGTCGGTGATCGCTTCCCGAACTCCGACTGGGTAAATAACTGACCACCCTGGCCAATAGTGCCAGGGCAATCATTCCAGAAGACATCCGAGAGCTGAATAAGATTTAGACCTGCCTCCTTGATCCATACAAAGGCAGCTGGCAACAATTGTACAAGATCAAGGCTTCTCATACTCCGTCCTGGCTCTTCCTTATCCGGCTCCTCCGTGGTGCGAAGGTCCCGTCCATCCTCAAACGTCGTGCGAAAAAGGATGAGGGCGATCTGGCACATTCTATCTTTGCAGATGCGGGTTGATGCCAGCTTGGCTAGAAAGGATGCAAAGTTGAGGCGCTGAGCGCCCGCCATTGGTGCGCAGTTGTTGATCCAGAATTCGGTCATGTCAGTGACCAAGAATGGCAGGTCATTCCACAGCGTGCCTTCGATTGTTCGTGCGATGTCGATCCCGTACACCCCCGACACAGGCCTGGTCAATGGCCCCATTCCCTGGATGCGGATGATATCGAGAACCAGACGATCCTGGTCAGGCGTTTCATGCGACGTATGTCGGCCCAGCTGGTAGTACATATGCCACAGGGAATGAAGGTAGCCTTCGAGGGAATCCACTCCATCTCCAACCTGGCAATACCGTGTGCTAATGGTCCAGGTTCGATTATGAAAGGCTGCTCCCCGGAGCTCCTCGAATTCTCCTCGAGCGGCGGATTCCCGTATATCATCCTCGTCTCTGGAGGCGCTGTCTAACTCGGTGAGATCGGGGGTGCCTTTTGGCGACGGGCTCAGCAGGGAATCACGGAGGTGGTGCATGTTGAGATGGTGATAGTGTTAGTTAAGGGCTTGGTCAAAATGCAGTAATGAGTATAAGAGCGTGAGGAAGGTAGGGAGGTACCTGTTGCAAAAGGTTTTATACCGCGAGAGGGAACTACTGATTCCTCTCATCAAGCCACTCTTTAGGCAGTAGTATAGCAGCATTCAGACAGACTGACAAGCATGTCGATCATTGGATTCTTTTTTTTCTTTTTTGGGCTCCTGTATGCACTGGTAAAATATTATTTCTTTGTCATATTGCCGACCATGCAAGTCTACAGGATCCACCCGAAGAAGGTACCAATTGAATCTCTACCAGTAGCAGCATATCCCTGTATATACTACAGTCATCTATATGCTCACAAAGAGAGCCCACTACTACTTTGTATTAGGTACATAAACTAACGTTCTAGACCCTGGACTATTCAGTATTAGCACAGGAATGCTAACAAACTATCAACTACTAAATCTTGGCAAAGGTAGGGAGGTGTGTTCCTAAATTGTACAGAGGGAACGCAAACATTTCAAGATTCTTGCTTGTCTATGTCTCTTCTCAGATTTATTGTGATCTTTTGGTCTTGTGGAATATAGGCCTCTGGTATCTTGGAATAATAGACCTATAAATTGAAGAGTGTGCTAGATACTGTAGAAACCACATCGATAAAGAAACAGGCAAAAGTCGCTCGTCGGTATAAGTGAGAATATGTTATAGAAGACTGCTCGCGATCTAAATCCCAATAACCGTTGCTCATGCTTTTTGCTTCCGTATTTTTGCACTTCTAGTTTAGTATAGTTTAGAGGGTTATAATGAAGTTAGTTGATAATTTCATTCTATAAAGATTAATTATATAAGCTCAATGCTTAGGGGGGCTCAGCACACGCACTTCTGCTTTGTCCCACGCTTCGGGATCAATCACTGAGCAAAAAGTGGCTTTCGACTATTATTACTACTACTACTACTACTACTACTACTACTACTACGTAGTCTATGCCATCATTTTCGGAGTTGGGAATAGTCGGGACCTAAGTCAAGGTGAAGGCGAGGGGCTAGGGCTTTCCGGGTTTATATGGAATCATCATATTTCTCATTCCAGAATAAGATATCCAATTAGCAATAACCTACTCGACATATATAACGACCAAGAAATACTAAAAAGCATCTAATAAGGGCAAACCAAAACAATCGAGAGTGACACAGAGAGAGACAGACAATAACAAAAAATCTATATATCTCTACGGTACGGCAACTGACCTCCGCAAGTCTTCCGCATGACTCTCCTCCCAGGGATGCTGTTTCTCACCAGCCCGAATCAGTTCTTCATGACCTGCACTACGAGGCTTAATGTCGACATCGAATGGCATCGGATGACTGATGAGACTGGCCTGGAACTCCGGCTGGATATCCACCTCCTTGCCGTCGCGAATGGGCTTGGTGATGTTGAAGACAGCCAGAGTGCGAGCGATAGTAAGCCATAGATTTGAATCTGCTAGATTCCGTCCGGGGCATATCCGTCGTCCGAACCCGAAAGAGATGAGATGGGGATCACGCTCAGGTGTGTGGCCATTGTCACTCAGGAAACGCTCAGGCTTAAAGGTCATTGGGTCGTGGTATTCATTGGGGTCGTGGGTGAATGCCCTACGGGGGAGTTCAGTAAGCAAAGGGAAGAAGGACTATAAGGCCCAACACACCATATATTCGTCAATATAGTTGCCCCCTTGGGGATATGGTACCCCTCAAGCATATCATCCCCCATGGCCATATGGGCGACACCCATCGGAACGACGGGATGCCAACGGAGGGCCTCCTTAAGGATAGCGTCGATATATGGAATGTCCTCGCGGTCTTTGAACCCAGGTAAACGCGATGTTCCAATGACCCGGTCTATTTCCTCTTGGGCTTTCCGCTGTACGTGCGGATATAAGGCCATTGTCATGAAGAAACCCATCATCGTGGAGACTGTCTGTAATGATCCTTAGGATTATCCCAAAGTAGTCGAAACAGTAGGTGGCCATTTGTTACTTACTGTATCTGCCCCTCCAGCGTAGAGAGTAGCAGTAGCCCACTTCACAATATTTTCCTCTTCCGAGCCCGGCTGGATATTCTCTGATTTAAGATAGTACGAAATTATGGATGGCTCATTGCACCCTTGGGCTATTTGCTGTGTTGCGAACGCATAAGGGACCTCACCTAGATCTTTGGCAATCGTTTGGAAGCCCTCTGCAGCCCGCGTGCAGCCTCCCCCTGGTGCCCAGGAAGGGAGGTGTCTCACTGGAATGAAACCGTTAAGCATACTTGTTCCAGCAAAGTTGCAAGCAAAGACTCACGGATAGGAATAGAATCCACAAGCCAAGCCCCAGGAACCATTGACAACGCAAACTTCTCGACGGCATCGTTCGCAAGATCAACTAGGGGATCGCGCGCATGGGGTTCGATAGTGTATCCGTAAGTAATTTTCAGTATAACCGCACCGGTCTCCCTGACGACAAATTACTCTTACGTTCATCTGACTTGGAATAGAAAGACACCTACTTCTTAATGTGTTCAACCCAATTCTCCGGGTCCCGGAGCACCCGGGAGAGATACCGGCAAGCCTCCGCATCCTGGATGTGATTGAACCGGGCGATAGATTTATTGGAGCCGATCTGTTGGTGAGCAACTTTGCGTGAGGCGCGGAGCCGGTCTGAGTATTCGAGAATGGTCGTGATATCGCCCCAGCCGGCCCTTTTTCATCAGACACGTAATTTGTGTGCAGTATAAAGATGAAGCTTACATATGGGCAAAGGTGCATGGCGGCCGAGATGAGTGTACTGCGGAACGCTTCTCCAAGAGCTCATACGCGAGACGTGCTTCATTTAGGATGATAATTGTTTGGCCGAAGATGGTGACTGAGCTAATTGGGCCTTTTGTGAGTTCCTTTTTAGTATATGGGTATTTGCAATACGCTGATACTGAGAATATGTACCATAGAGATCTTTATGTTTCAACCAGTGCAGCCAGTCCCGAGTGCCTTGTGATGGAAGATCCCAGAGATTCCCAATAATCGGTTTTGGTCTGGGACCAGGGGGGAGCGGCGCAAGCGACTTCGCTTTAACTAGAAAAGTCCTTAGAAAATATAAGGCTATGACGCCGATGGCGAGCCCAAGAATCATGAAAGACATTTCCTGTTCAACCTCCACACAGAGATTTCAAGTAAAAGCGTCAAAGAAAAAGCATGGCGGCATTTGAACGTACATAACCCCAAGCGAGGTTCTTATAAAAATGATCAGAAGAGGGGTAAAGCACCCTGGTGTCAGATCCTTTCAGCTGAGCTTCTGCACTGCAACAATATCTACGACCTTTAAGGTGCTAGGTGCAGCTGATATGCAGAGACACCAGGGTTGAGTTACTATATTGCGAATGTTACTGGACCGCAATAGGGCTTGTGCAGGATATCAGACCCATTATGGGACAGGGATGAACAACCTCCCTGGCAAAAGTACCGATTCGCTTACAATAGCTTGTGGGTATCCCAACAAGAAATTATAGCCGAGGACATTGCACCTGTTATAAGAAGCGCTTTGTTCTCGGGGTGTCCTTGTGATTGATTTGGTTTCTTGCATATAAGCCTAAGAGTTTGATATCGGGTCAAGTTCAGGTCCAAAATCTAGAAACCCGCCCCGAACCCGCACTGATTTAGGTCGACCCGACCCAAAAAAAACCCCGAAAACCCTGCTACTAGGCCTTAGAAGTTATCAGATACTTTGTTTGTATAGATTTAGATTAGAATCTTAATCTGATTTCTAAAGCTAGTATAAATAATCGGGAAACCCTAGAAAATTTAAGTAAGATACTATTTTATTGATATCGGTTGACCGACCATATATAACTGACTACGGTGGGCAGAAAGCGAAAGCGAAGAACACAAAGCTATAGCAGACTGAGTAGGGAAAACTGGTATTAACACAGAAGAATCGCTCTTTCACCCGCAGTTTATCAATGCGGGACCTGGTTACATGGTCCTGTTTTGGTTTTATGAGGCGTACGCACTTTACAGCTCTGAGCCTCTGACTTCCAAGACCCCACGCACCGCGATTGAGCCAAAATCCTGTCCCAACAACAGATAAGATTCCATCCCACCAGGTTTCGGTCCAGTCTACAGAGCCACTTTGGTTCTTAGCCAGCTTAATGGATAAGCCACATTTGTGTAATAACCATACTGTTTTCGCTATGGGCAGTTGGGAAGGAAGATTTCTTGGCACATGTGTCCATGCTCTATCTAATGTACTAGCCTGTGCACTTGTTACAAATCTTGGGGTCGAAGAATCAGAGTTGTGTTATCCTGAGATACTCTATACTACATGGCTATATCTTGGAGGATTGTTATTGTTGATGAATCTCTACTACAAAATCAGCCTTTGAATAAATAGATTCGACCTGTTTATTCCTTCCGTAAATATCTTTCCACTAACAGGTAGTTAGTTAAGAGAGCTTGCTCTTAGCTAACCCAAAATGACAGTCCAATATATACTGTCATGACATATATAGTAGCAAGTTGTTTAGCCCTATTAAGCATCCTTAAGATACTCTGAGATCATTACTAGTACGCTTGCGGAAGTCCATTGGTACTCAATTATTTAACTTATCCCGTATATAGACAATCTTGTTGGGATCAAACCACAATAGCAGAAGAAAAAAAAAAAAAAAAAAAAAAAAAAAAAAAAAACAAACAAAAAGGAAAAAGAAAAGAAATTCAAGCACAGGTTTCTTTTTAGCTTTTTCCAAATTCAGGTATTGCAAAGTACTGTATCATGACTAAGGCGGTTGAATCAAGTTTATGAAGATCTGGAGCTGGTAAGCTGATGGCCTCCACTCTTCAAATATGATCAGATATAAAATTACTGTACCAATGTTATGAATTTTACTCGTATAAAAAGCTGAAATATTCCCTCTCCGAGCTTGTTATACCTGTGCGTAGGTCTGCTAGTTTGATAAGGCCTGTGGTAGCCGGGATCTCCATGTAGTCGCGACGTGCATCACCCTGGATATGAAAAAGATTCATGTAAACAATATCACCCGACTCTAATGGATCAAAAATATTTTTCTGATGTCCTCCGAACTCCATGAACAGTGTTGGGGGTTCATCTAGCCCAACATATAATTCATTTTTTCCATTTTTTTGAAGGGTGTATCTCTTGCCATTAATAATGCATCGAAGGGCGTAGTTGGCGCCGTAAAATAGCTGTTTACTGCTGAGTAACAATTCACAAGGTCAGCTTTTTCTAGGGCACTCACCTTTGGTTCCCCACTCCTGAAAACTAGGTCTTCGTTTGGAGCATAGATCTCCCAGTCTCGACATACTGTCTTAGCTGAATTAGGCCATGGATGATTTGCAACGCCATATCTTGAGCCTTGAATGCTCTTGTGGCCCGTAACTTCAGTGTAGGGATCAAAGAATGTGGCTGTTCTTGATCAGCTTTACTGCTTGGTGAAAAGGAAACCAGTTGTAGGACTTACCATTATCGATGCCAAAGTCAACAACCACAAACTTTTTATATTCAATCGTAGTATCATTCTTTTCACCGAATGAGAATTTGATAGCTGCACCTTTTATACCATCAACAACATCCCGTATCCCACCTGGATGTATGACAATTCCACTAGTGGTACTCCTTCCTCGTATAGCATCAATCACATCGAAGATATCCTTCATTCCCACTTGCTGTGGTCCTGTCAGAGCCGGGGAACCAAGAGGTATTAGAATGAACATGGGTCTAACGTACTTTCATAACACGCCAATTGTAGAAGGAGCTAACTGTTGGACACCACAATGGTGGGCTGTTGTGGTGGAACGTTAGTGATACCCTGAATGCACTGGTCTTGTAGTTTAATACTCACTTATTACAATATAAAGTATTGCCTCCGTCCGCTTGCCAGGAAATGGAATGTGTCATTTTTTTCTCCGTTTTGGTCTTATTCTCATTTTGGTTTGTTTCATGACTGGCACTGACTTCAGCCTGGAAGCCGAAACCTGAGATAGAAGCACTTGCTGCTGCTTTCAGAGCCTGTGTCTTTTCTTGTACTGATGAACCAGCCACTCTCTCTGTCTTCTCCGCGGAGAATAATCGGCCGCCAAGTTGAACTTCGGGAACAAACACATGTCCTGAAGTTCATGGTCAGTGGAATATATCACTTTCATACCGGATTAAGCGAACCAAATTTCCGACAGAACTTATCTAAAGCTTCTTCTGTTCTGTCTTGTTCAAGCTTTCGTATTTCAAGTTCACACTCCTTGGTCAGTTCTAGATCTTCATTGTCAAGAAAAAGTTCGACACGTGGAAACTGAGCAGAGGGTTAATAACTGCTTGCAATAAATCGATATACTATGCACTCACGTTATAGGAAATATGCATATAATCTTCATCTTTAGCTTTAGCGATGGAAGAGGCATTTGAATTGGCTTGGTTGAAGCCAGCCTTGACGCCAACACTGACACCCATAAATCCACCACCTCTATTATGGACAATCAAATTAGCAGATTCATTTACACAAGAGTGAGCCTGCTGTGCTGTACTCACAGGGAAGCTTGGATTGTTGTTTGATCAAATGCATTTTGTACCAGCGCGTCATCCAAGGACTTCTTAGTCTCAAGAACATCAACAGTTGCCCGGTCATAGATTTGGAACCTTGGGATTTGGAATAAGAGCTTGGAACATATTAGTGAAATTACTTTAGAAAAGGGGACATGGGTTCAAAGTTGTACCTGCTGATTCATACTTCCTCCAGAGGCCACACTCTTAGGGTTTGTTGGAGGAGCGGTAGCAGCCCTATATTCTGGAACTTCTCTTTGCTTCAGAGCGAATGCTGCAAATCACATATTAGCTATGTCACCCCAATAGCAATATGCGACTGATACTCGCCTTGGTAGCGGGCGCGCCTCACACCAATAATCTCCACGCTACCCTCTTTTCCCTTCCCAAATTCAAGGACTTTACCACTCAGTATGTCGTTGTTCCGCATCACAACAGCCCATTGCCTTTCTGTCATATCCGCCGGGTAGCTGAAAATGTGTTAGCACCTCTAAGCCCTCGATTTACAACCTTATGGGTCTCCCGATAATTAGGTTCACTCACATCTCGCTGGGTTTACCTTCTTTGGCCTGCCAGCTAGAGGCAGCGAAGCTACTCACAAGGTGTTGTAGTTCTGGTCTAGACACATTATTTGTCCGCTCAGTCTAAGATCGTGTTAGCCCTTCAGTCCGGAAATATAGGATCTGTAAGCTTTTCTACCAAGGTCAGGTCCAGAGGCTGCTCAAGGAAAGTAGACATTTTTTCAGTCAGATCCGATCGAATTGTGCTCCGTTTGAAGTTTATGCTGTGATGACCCTAGACCAATTCAGTAAGTTCAACCAGAATTGAAGAAATAGCTAAATGTAGATGCACAATACTCACAGTAGTCTCCTTACTCAAATTCCAATATTTCTTTAAGGTCATGCTATTTTCAACAGTACTTCCATCTTCGGCACAGATATCGCTATTCGCACTATTCAAGAGTTGGGTGAGCCTCATTCGAGCGCTTTGCTTCGAGCCTGTGGGTATGTGAAGCTTACTATTCTTTTTGGAGCTTCTCATTTATGATCAAATACCATCGTAGATCCGAAAGTGTCTTTTCTCTGTATGATCCGGGAATATGTCCCGTGTAAAAGGGCTTGAACGTCTTCAAAGCGTGGTCATATATCCGGATGGATAATATGGGCTCATCATTGCCAATCTCCGAAGACACTAAATCCAAATGTTAGTACTTTGAAATTCGAATTTGGAATACCTTCTGGAGCTGTACCCGTCATTTTTGGGAATATCTAGAAAGGAAATTCTCAATGACTTCCGATGTCTAGTCTGGGAAGGACTCTTACAACTATCCTGTCAATGCCAGATGGGTGAATTTATATCTTCCATTCCTTAATCAAGTCATACCATTATATTTTTCACTTTGTAATAGATTGCCATGTAGATCACTATCACATAGCACAATCTACGCTCAGTCCTCTCTTGCCTTTTTAATAAATACATGCAGTAGCTGAAATCTGCATGAATGGATCTTCATTTCCAATTCCGGCATTTGGGGTTAAGGAATTGATGGATCTCATGCAGCAAGCACCATCCTGGCTCACTCATTGTCTGTGGTGTAGGCGTAAGATCTTCGTATTACGCTATGATATCACAACTGTATGAAGATATCCGATACGCTATGTCTTCTTGACAGGCTGAGCGCAGGTCGGGTAATATTTCAACCCCTCTGGTTCTATGCGTTGGTAGCATACGTGGCAGTTTAAATTCATTGAGAAGGAAAGTTGTCCGCCGATCTGGGGCAGAGCTGGATTATACTGATCCTATCCTCTGGACAACCTCTCTACGATAAATTTACATAATCATTCTGCGGTAAAAATTTGCCAGCCCTGATAGGTGACACCAGCTGTACGGAGTATAATAAGTAGCCAGCTACGTACACAAGACTCGGGTCATCTACTGTTATTTGGATGAATGCTTGTTGATTGACCCTATATCTGAGGGGTAAGCTAACGAGCTGAAGGGATGGTTCACGTTACATTCCAGACACCGGAATCTATCCTATGTGTGCTTCACCAATTTCGCGGTTCTTAATTTAATTGGTGGCAAGGGAGATAGCGCAACTTCTTAGCGTAGGCAGCTTCTGGCCCCGGGCCGTACCTAAACTATACCTCTGGTGGTGTTGGCGTTATGATCCGTTGCCTCGTCCTTCACCTCGCAGACCACACCCATGCAGGAATCCTTTTTGGGCTTTTAATAATGAATAAGATATCTGAAACTGACGTCAAGTTAAAATTTCATGTATTTAATGAACGGGTCGTGTTTGTGGCGAGCTGAATCTCCTCTTGATCGGCACTGCGGGGTGGCCAGAGCGAACCCCACTGTCGACATGTTGTCATCCATAGTCCATGCCCCTCAAGAGTTTTGGAGAAGCTCTCTTGTTTGGACCAGCAGTTTAATAGCTCTCCTCATATGGTGGCTTAGCTGAATGACAGCTTATGGTTCCTCTAACTGCATTATATCTTGTGTTTGTTGTCTATATATTGAAAGTTGCCTGCCACTGATCATCAGCTACCTTACTACAATGGATCGCCATAGAGCCAAGTAGGGATGTTTTCTCTTGATCTATGCGTCTATCTGTCATAAACATAAGCCGGCCACAGTCGCAGACATACATAGAGGTTCTGTCACCAACCCAGTTGAGCATGGAACGTTGCAGGCCAACGGCTAAGTAGGATGAGAAGCAGATCTCACAGTGTTTACTATATATGTTCGTAGAGAGCCATGTAATCCTTCTGTATAACCACATTTATTTTCGAGAAGTTTTCAAGTAATCTACTTTTAACCACTATGAAGCTCTTCCTCATCGCTCTCAGCCTCAGTATTGGAGCCACTACCGGAACCATCTGTGGCTCACGATAGCAATCGGGATGATCGACTATTCTCGAAATCCTGCTGTTACGATCGCGATGACACCTGGGACAACACCTACTATGTACTACCCCCTGGTGAGAACGATCGCATTTACAAACTGTGCTGTAATGTCAAGTCAGGACATCAGTACAAGGGACGATGCAAGGATTCCTCTCTGTTAAAGGAGGTAAGCAGCTATGTCCTTAGCCCTGGTCTGTGCCGAAGCTAAATCTTAATATGTTAAGCATGAATCCTTTGAACTCTGAGAAGCGTCTACCAATCCCAATAGATGCGCATGGTTTGGGCCATAGGATATAGTATGAACGTGTATTTCTAAAGTTATCTATAACGTACACAACTACCGAGCGTGTTCGGGGAACCCGATCAACTATATAGACACCGCACAAGAGCCGATTGACCAAAGATCGCCAAACAATGTGTCAGTCATGGTATTCAGTACAGAATCTAACAGGTTCGTTATTGTTTGGTTTCATTTAGTATTCCAAGTTCTGAACAGAAATCTCAGCCTTCTGATTGGTCCGTTCGAAATCCGTATACTCGCTCAGAGCCCATGGTAGGTTGAATCATAGAATTTATGCTGGTACTGTAGAATGAACATTGATGTTGGTTCATAAAAGGATACATTGATTACTAAAGAGTGTATGGTTGAGTAGACAATTTTAACACTATGACAGGGTAAATTATGATGACGAGGTATTATTATAAAGAAAAGGAGTAAAAAAAAACGAAAAGATGTGGTGTGAGCCCCACCCGATTTGAACGGATAACCTTTTGATCTGGAGTCAAACGCGCTACCGTTGCGCCAGAGGCCCTTGGGATTACTAATCTTAGATATATAGTGCTAAAATATTAGTGCTGTTCTGCAGTATACAGCTTGTATCCTACACTCCGAACACCGATGGATGAATTCCGAACGCCGAGAATAGCCCTAACAATGTAATATGTCAGCCCCCTCTCTTCAATCTTGCTTTCTTTGCTTCGTTCGACTGTTATACTCAAAGTAGTCACAGGTAATAAATAGAAAATAAGAGATGAACTCACGTCGTCGCAATGGAAAACCCGCCTCCTGCGAACCCTGCCGCAAGGAAAAAGTCCGTTGTGATCATCGCCTCCCGGTCTGTTCTCGTTGTCAGAAGAAACTCCGGACGGCCAGTTGCTTCTATCATCCAGCACCGTTGACGCAAAGATCAAAAACTATCACTGTAAAAACGATCTCATCGGGGTCAGGACAAACACATTCTCCTCCTTCTTCAACTCCGGAGCAGGATGACTCGGATCCTCGGCCGTTGCGTGCCAGGCCAGTATCCACGCCGGTTTCGACATTTTCGAATACCGAAGAACTGGGGCCACGATTAGACGACGGATTCAACATGCTGGTCACTACTCGCTCATTGCCCACTGGCTACTTGGGTCCAACCAGCTTTGTCGCGGCATTGGAAGAGGACCACGAATTTGTTTCTAGCCCCAGCGATCAACTGTCACAAGACGACGCAACAACGGCATTCCCATCCGACTTGCCTTTGTACTGGGTACAGAGGACAGCAGAAATACTACGATGCTTACAAGATTTCCCAACCATTGATCAACTAGTCTGCGAATACTACAAGCTAAGCAAGGCAGCCGTCATACCATCTCTACTCCTTAACGCCCTACCCTCAATACAGACTGTGATTGATGCAGCCCAATTGCATAAAAGCCCACCAGAACAAGTCGCGCGGGTTCTTCAAAACACAAAACATGTGCTCCATGTACCATCGATTATGACAGGAAGTCAGTTCCATGAGCTTTTTACCGGGCCTAATTTACGCCTAGAGATCTTAGGAGTTTTCTATGCGATAGCAGGCCGGCTCAGTCTTTTCGGCCTGGCTCATGATAAATTCCCTCAGTTCGATGGAATGGCAGCTCGTGAGCGGTTTTCTCGGAAAATGTTGGCGGCTAGTGATGAGGTCCTCCAGGTTTGTAAGCTCATCGCCCCAGTCAATGACCTTACAATATGGATGCTGTATGAAATTCTGTTATTGTCCAAGGTGGCCCATGGCGATACTAGTGAGTAAAGCACCTAACACGCTGGCAGTAATAAGAAAATTAGAGAATGCTTGCTGATCATGCAACAGGCTCCGCAAAGTGGCGCAGGCTCGGGGACCTGTCAACCCATATATTCGAGCTAGGGCTGCATAGAGACTCCCAACAGTCTAGCTCTCTACCGACATTCTTAGTCGAGACTCGCCGGAGGCTCTTTGCAGCGACTTATCAACTCGACAAGAGCATTGCAACATTCCTGGGCAGACCACCGAGGATCTCATTAAGACATTCAGACTGTCGACTGCCCCTTGATCTGGATGATAGCTTATTGAAGGCTGGTCAGTCGGAGATTGAGCTAGCAGTGCAGGACTTGGACAGCGATGGATGGAATACACAAGGCAGCCTTCACCGATCTACCTTTCTTCGGCAACGGTTCCTAGTCACTACCTTCCGTGAGGAGATTCTAGAAGTCTCTTTAGAGACCCAAAACCATAGGACGGCCGAAAAGCTGAGGTGAGTCGCTGCATATTTCTTCCCTTTATTAATCCAAGCTCATAGAATTCGGTTGCGTGGTGAACAGGGATATCTCCGCGCGTTGTCATCAAACTTGGGATTCACTGCCGAAACAATTACACTACAGCCCAGATTCTCGGGATGAGAACATTTCAAACACCATCTGTATGATGCTTATTGTATCATACTTAGCTTACCTGTACAACGACTTTCTCATTCAAAGGCTTCTTGTTCAGCAGGACCCCGACGCCTATTCAGCTTTACTCGACGTGAGCTCAACCATTTTGTCGACCGTTTTAGATTTCTGCGCCATGCGAGAGGATATGGTTGACCTTCGACCGGATTTCATATGGACCGTTCGTACCCCCTTTCCAGACACCTTGTAAACGGGCCTAACTAAAAGTCAACCAAAAGAATCTTCTCTACGGCTTCCCCAGTGCGGCTGTCCTAATTAAGGCGCTTCAGAAGCAAGCTCGCACCGGCAGACCAATCCCTTATCAAGGCTCGCGATCCGTCTTGATTCGCCATCTAAGCGTTTTCATCTCGCATCTAGAGTCAATGTCCCGACCGGGTCTGGTGAATCAGGAGCTATTTCACCGCGCTAGTAAAATATTTTCGGGGATCATCGATGAAGTTCTGGAGCCGCGTGTTGCGGTAACTCTCCGGGGACCTGAACTAGATATATTAGCGGATTCGGAGACGTGTATGATCGGGAACGATGATTTGGATTTCTTGGACATGCTGGAGTTTGGAGGATCGATCGACCAGTACATCATCTTCTGAAGTTATATAGTGTTGAAGACGGGCTGTGTAGAAGTGGACTAATTTTGATCATACCTGATTAGAATATTATCCCGGAAACCGAACTCCGGCACTATTATGATAAGACTATTGAAATCTGTATACACTGAGCCCTCTTCTCCCGGCACCCTAGATTTATCACGAGATAATTATCATTATACATTAGTTTCGTATATATATATATATATATATCTGTGCCATGGTCATGATTGAACCCAAAGAAACTAAACGCAAGTCCATATCCTCATTATGTGCATCGCTGTGTTGCCGACAAGGAAATAAATGTCGCAAGTTGTCGATGCAATCGCGTGTAGCCAAAGCTTCCGTATACCTGGATCACGATTGAACGGCAGGACGAAAAGCCTAGACCTTAATATCCCAATTCGCAAGCATATCCACAACCGTCTTATACGCCAGAAAGGCAATTACGAAAGAAACCACCTATAAAGATCAGCCCTTCCACCCAAAACAACCAACCCAGGGAAAAGAAACGGGGAGAAAACTCACCCAAACACCAACCCCAAAGCAAATAAACCCCCAAAAACAACATCCCAAGAACCAAAACCTCATTCCCAACTCCCAAAACAACACCACTCAACCCCCCCTTCCTCTTCAACCACGCCGGCACCAAATCCCCCTGACAAGTCCTCCCCGAAACCACCAAACACCCCCCAACCTGCCGCCGACACTCCAGATGGCGTCGCCTGCGCTCCATGATTCGACGAATACGCAGATTACAAAACGCCTCGTCGGTCCGGAATGAGCACTTCTCCATGGGACATTCGAGTTTTTGCTCGAAACGCTCAACCAGCCAGTCGACTTTGAGGTGGACGCCGGTGTAGACGAGGGCGTAGAAGTGGCGGGAGGTGTGTTTTAGGGCTAGGGCATCTGGATAGGGGAGGTAGGTTGAGATGTGGAGGTGGAGCTCTGTGGGGAGGGCTGTGAAGGTTGGCTTTTGGGGTTGTTTATGGGGGTTTGGGGGTGGGATTTCGTCCATTGTTCGTTGCCGGGTAGGTTGGATGTTGAGGTTGGTGTTGTTGGTATTGATATGAGGGTGTTTGGTAAGGGATCCGCGGTTCAAATAGGGTTGGTTGCGGATACGGGGTTGTTGTTGGTTGCCTAATGGGATCCGGGTTGAAACAGGCCACCGTGGCTGGTATAAAAATAGCTTATGTACGTGGTGTGGAGGTTTCGGGGGAATACGAGGCTTTTTATCTTTAGCCTTTGGTGATTGTTTTAGAGGTTTAAATCTAATGATCGTCGGCAGGGTTGCGGTGATGCGTCAGACGAGGCTCTCGAGCATGGCGGAGGCGGAGCACTGCCACAGTCGAGCTATGACAACATTTGAGAGTTCAGGAGTGAGATTTATATTTGGCTAGCTTGGATTGAGCTAGAGTATGTGGGTATAGAAATAACAGCAATGTCTTACTGCTAAATTCAGGTACGGTAGAGCCAACGTTGTAGCGTTTTACAGTTGAAGTGATTTGGATTTACCGAAACCTTAGGCAATTTAAATGGTATATTATTTTTAACTCTAATTAGAGTTTATGGAGCAATAATTATTATGCTTAGGAAAACATACCAACCAGAGCCTTCCGAGCATCCTTCTCTTGCGGCGACTTCGAACATATCTCTGTTGAAGGAAGACCGTGATACTACCAGACCACTACAAACTGTGAGCTCTACTGGCAACGGTAATATCACAGTTACCTTTACTACTTAACGGATCATTTTCCTAGCTGGTGGGTCCGACATCACGCCGAAGAAGGTTCCCTAAGTGTCTTGGAAATCTCCCCATACATCTCTACATATGTACTATTTGTTATATGTGAGAAAACTGTCCAGAAAGGCTTGCCATGGGACACCAGTATCATTCTCAAGATTACCAGATATACTAGTGTATTTCTAGTCTTCATAAATCCCTAACCCGTAGTCTTGAGGCAGGATCTTCCAGGGAAATCAGGTAAGCAACACACAGACAAGTGCTAAAAAAAAGATAGGTAGAAGGTTCTCTCTCCTCCTAATACCGGACGAACTCTTCAGGTACAACTTACAGAATAGACAGCCAAATGAACCCGGCACTTCTCATCACACTCGACTATACCCTGCGCGACCTCTACTCGGACAACAATGAAGACGACCTCAACACGACCCTTATCTACTATCCTCTGCACTTTGGGTATATACATGAGATTTCATCAGCCAAATATGTCTATGAGTATACGCTGCAAAGTGACGAAGAAAAAACAGCTTCCTCGATTGCAATGGCAGCGGACATGGTACCCCAGCGGTACGCCTTCTCTGCAGGCCAGATGCCACTTATTATGCTGGACTTGATCCAAGCAATAAGCTGAAAGACAATAACCATTAAACATGCCAAATCGTTGATGAGCTACCAGTTCATCATGTTGATATTCGTCGGACCTTCTCCCAGTTAATGCCCGACCAGCAGCCGACGTTGACTTTTGCGAATAGTCCAGAAAACATATCTTTAGACTCTGGGCGCAGATTGTTGTCCTACTCCTTACCGACTGTCTGTCGCATTTGCCCCATGTTGTTCACCCAGAGACCCATTATGAGATGCTGTCGAAACGCGGGCTTGCTCTGTCCGGTTTGCCCACCCCATCATCCCCCCCTATACCTTCATTCATTCATACATACTTTTCCTACTCCTTCTATTCCCAGTACCTTTACTTTGACAACCTGATTCACAATGCGGTTCAAGATCTCTGCCCTTACTGCCCTCTTGGCAGCCTCCACCCCGGTGTATGCCCAGGACATTAGCGGCACTGACGTTATACAAAAGCTTGACTTCCTTACGGAGAGTGCCAGAAACCTGAGCAGTGTCCTCCTGAACACTCAGGACCCTGTTAAAATAGGCCAGGTTCGTTTAGTATATGGCTGTACTGTTTGAATATGCATTGACATCAATCCAGGCTATTCTTAGCAGCACAAAGGATCTCGTCGCTGAGATTCCCCATCACTCCACTCTTGAAGGACTAGGCCACATTCTTTTCGACGATGCAGATCAAAGCGTGATTTGCAACACCTTACGTACGGTAGGTTGCCCCGACTACCAACGTTATTGGTAAAAGATACTGACAGTCTACTGCCCGAGGTAGTTCCATCCAGTTAACATGGCTTTTATCCATATCCTCGTTAGGAAAATGGAGCTTCTCCGGGAACTCCCTAGGCCTGAGTAGTTCATTCTTGTGGACTTCCTACACACTCTTGACGATTTTATTGATGTATGTGTTTCTCGTCCCCCTTATATATCCCATTGTATGGTGCTCTGTCCATGGTCCTTGCGACTGACCGTATGCTTTATAGAATTTCCTGCTCGGCATTATTGACAACTCTCTTTTTTGCTCCGGGAGCGACACACTCAAGGGCATGCAGAACGATATAGAGTCAGCAATCCAGACATACGAAGGTAATTTTCCCAACTACGCTGGAGATGTGCAAGCCGCAGGACATTCCTAGAACGAAAAAAATAAAAAGAAAATAAAATGTTTATAGCCGCTAATGTATAACCAGGCTTAAATCTAAGCACCGATCAACCAGTTAATCAGTAATGCTCAAAACTTCTGGATTCATTGACTCGGTTCAGTAAGTTACTAGTCAGCTTTCCTGGCCTTACGGTTAAGGTCCTGGAAGAGTGGCAATGGGCCTAAGATTTACATTAACGACCTCGGTTGGGACGTGTTTGGCATATTTAGGTACATAATACATTTTAATCTTAACCGAATCATTCCTACCTCCTGATGGAATTATTAGCCCATGTATTTTTTGTATTTTGATTTTGATTTTTTATATCTCTTTTCGCCCCAACATTTGTACTGTCAAATGAGCTTAGTCTCTGCGACTTACTTATCTATCTAGATTGATACCTGACCAGAGAATAGTAACTCTGAACGGGTTTGCACAAACTGGCTATGATTTCGGAGCACGATGGATTCTTCCCAAGATCTTTATACGTCTGAGATGCGCATAAGTTAGTCGTTGAATCTATAGCCTTGCAGCCACTGCTCTTCTCGTCATCAAGCAATAAGATTGCTGCTCGCATCGATATGCCCGCTGATGCTGACCGGCTACAATGACCCAACCCCGACATGTACATTCCATCCCCAACGGCGGAGGGCCCGGGAGAAGAGAGAAATAAACCATATAAACGAGCTATATTCGGGCCTGTCCCTGAAGGTAATCTCTGCAATTTACACTTGAAGATAAGGAACAACCCGGCACAAGCCACGAATTCAGAAGCAGCAAGAGAAGGTTCACACAACGGTGCATGAAGGCTTTCTACATGAATAGAGCTGAGAATATAACCAGTCTTGAAATCCCGGTACCTTCGACGTACTCATTAATTACTTATTCCGTGGATTGTTCCAAAGTGGTGTCTTTTACATGGGCTATGCGGATAAGAGCGCAGAATTAGATACATGTCCTTGTGAATGAGGAGCACGAGCTCCTAGCCTGCCAAGAGCTGAACTGATCCTGTATGCAGGATTCATGAATCCTTGTCTATACGTGAAAACAAAAATAAATATATATTCCCTAAACCCGGTAAAAAAAATACCCCGCAGCGTAGCTGTCATTCAGCCATGCCCTTGATAAAATCTCAGCGGGCCCACTTCGAAATCAAGGAAATGTTCCTGTGAGAAACTGACATATGGTTAGTTTCATGAAGTGACTCCTCTCTAATCCGTGCGTAAGCCTTTTGAGGAATAGCTGGGTGTCAGTCAGTAGGTGTCGAGGGCATCAGGTCCACACATTAAGACAACACATACCTGCTTACATTCTCTCACAATTCGCCCCACACCCACATCCCGGCGTATATCCGATGCCACTGTAAGGAGAGATAAAAGTCATCCTATGCATAAGTGAACATAAAGTGATGTAACATCGTTACATGATTGGATGTATGAGCGCCATCAACATGACACGAGCTCCCTGCAAGCATCTCCTCACTAGTACACTACTGAAAACCCCCGATAGTTGTTGCAACGACCGCAGCCAGCCTTTCGCCTTCCACCTAACGGAGGGAATTGCAAGTAAAAAGCGATCTTATTAGCTAACGCATTTACTGTATTAGGTTAGTAGCTAGGGGTCTGCAACTACCAGTAGAGAGGTTGCATTGACCGGGGTTTTTTGCAGACCTCGAGAACTGTGATCGCTGGTCCGTTTGCAGCAACCCGATGCTGATCATTAATGCTACTGATCATGACTTTTCCACACCGTATGATTGCAGCCTATATAAAAGGCCTGCAAAGAAAAGATCAGTTGGCTGAAAGCGTGCAAGAGCATTATAAGTAGTACTGGGCAGCCATCTAGGAAATTCACTCTTACCGGTTCAGCACCGTCCTTGCCATCCAGCCCTGTCTGTATACTTCGCGATAGCAACCCACCTTCACAATGTCTGACCATGGTGACCTCACCCACCAAGCCATCAGCTCCTATTTCATAGGGCCGCAGGCCGAAAATATGGGATACTTCAAGGATAACATATCCACAATCCTCCAAGAGCTAGAAGATGCCCGCAAGAAATACAAATTCGAAGGCGACCAGGTACTTGTTTCCTCCCTGGACAAATGCACGGCACCAGGCCAAAGCTCACTAGCTCCAGAAATTCATCACATCCAGCATCCAAAACTCCGAGGAATTCCAGCGCATTACACGGAACTTCGCTCATGCAGTGAAAAAGGCTGCCAAGTTGATGGGCTCCCATTCTATACCCTTTTGGAATCCTCGTTATCAGGCTCATATGTGCACTGATCTGAGCATGCCTGCGCTTCTGGGTTATTTCATGACTATGATTTATAATCCGAATAATGTTGCGCTGGAGGCTAGTCCTCTGACGACGGTGGCAGAAATGGAGGTGGGGGAGCAGCTGTGCCATTTGTTTGGGTATAATATTGATCCGTCGAGAAAGGATGTGCCTACTGGTTGGGGCCACGTTACTTGTGGTGGGACTGTGGCCAATCTTGAGTCCATCTGGGTGGCTAGGAATCTGAAGTTTTATCCTTTGGCACTTCGTAAAGCCATGTGTGGGACCGTTGTTATAGATGGAAAGGAGAGGAAAGGTCCGTTAAACTTCGTGGCTGACAGATTTATGGTCACCACCTGTAAAGGTGAACGAAAGCTATTCACGGATCTGTCTACGTGGGAGCTGCTCAATTTAAGACCAAAGACGGTGCTAGATCTGCCACAGGAGTTGCATGAACAGTTCGGCATCTCGCCCAAGTTTGTCGAGTCTGCCTTGCAGCATTTCAACATACAGTCAACGGGGAAAGACATTCTGGAAAGAGAATTCGAGGTTAAGCAACCCATTAAGTGTTTCCTCTCCAATACTAGACACTACTCTTGGCCCAAGGGTGGAGGTGAGTGATTCCAGATCTTGGCTTAATTAATATGAGGAGTCACTAACAGCCACAGCAATTGCTGGTCTTGGGTCGGATGCATTTGAGGGCATTGAGGTCGATGATGCCGCGCGTATTAACCTCGACGCGCTTCAAGAACGCCTACAACGGTGTCTTGATGAGGGCCAGGCGGTTTATGCTGTGGTGGCTATCATGGGCTCAACTGAAGAAGGCGCTGTTGATCGGTTGAGTGCTATTCTAGCTATGCGTCAGCGCTTCCAGTCGAAAGGTCTGTCATTCCTCGTCCATGCTGACGCCGCGTGGGGAGGCTACTTTGCCACAATGCTTCCACGAAATCTGTATGACCTGCCACGGGGACCAAGTGTGAGCAATCCGGAGGATGGTTTTGATGGTGGCGCAGAGGGCTTTGTTCCAGACTTGAGCTTGAAGCTGGAAACTCAAGAAGATCTTCTTGCGCTTAAATACGCGGATTCAATCACCGTGGATCCACATAAGGCAGGCTATATTCCGTACCCCGGAGGGAGTCTAGTGTACCGCGATGGAAGAATGAGATATCTCGTCACCTGGACCGCTCCGGTGCTCTCTCAGGGCTCTGAGACCGGGATGGGAATCTACGGTGTCGAGGGCAGGTGCGTTCATAGGATTTAGTTTACGTGGCAGCTCCAGGAACTGACAGCAAGCAGTAAGCCCGGTGCTGCAGCCATGTCCATCTGGCTCTCCAACAAGTGTATCGGGCTCAATCCCCAAGGATATGGTGCTCTGCTCAGTGAGGTATCTTTCACATGTACCAGGGTAGGCATTTACTTCCACAAGTAGCCGGTAATTCATATAAGGCTAATATATACCAGCTCTCTGCTCACTGGGCCGCCATGACCACAAAAGACGATGACTATTTCATGTGCGTTCCATTCCACAAACTTCCCTCCGAATGGAAGGACCCCCTCAACGAGCAAGCAATAGAAGAGGAAAAGGATCGAATCCGTCGCGAAATTCTCCCAAAAAACAATCGTGAGATCGTTGAGAGTGATGCAGGCAAACCCACAGAGGAAAAGCTCATGACACTTCTCCGGGGCCTTGGTTCAGACCTGAACATCAACGCCTTTGCACTCAACTGGCGGTATGATGACAAGGACAGAACCTGGAACACTGACCTAGAAGAAGCCAACTACCTCACAAGACACGTCGTTGAGCGCCTGTCTATTTGCTCGCCAGATCAGGATCCCACCAAGATCCCGTTCTACCTGACGTCGACTGAATTCACTAACGAGCTTTATGGCAAGTGTGCCAAGGAGTTTAAGAGAAGGCTCGGTCTTCCACAGTGCGATCGCCCTCTCTTTGTGCTAAGAAATGTTGTCATGAGTCCATTCCCCACCGACAACGACTTTATCAGTACGATGGTAGACTACTTCCGTTCAGTAGTCGAGGACGGAGTGAGACTGTGCCGCAAGCGTAATGCAAGAGGCCCGGCTATCCACCGGTTTGTAATGCAGGGGACGGACGAGATTTTCTTGGTCTATCAACCATCATTCCATTTGGGCAAACATCGACAACAGATCATTCTGGCCGTGGAGGTTGAAGACCACGCCAAGTCAGACTATATTGAAATCCGGGAATCCAACCCTGAGGATCCTATTTTCCTCAAATCATCCGTAGAGATTGACCTCCAACAAGTGGTGAGTGAATGCGAGCGGGGCAGCCGTGTGAGCTTCAAAGGGACCATATACACACACCATGGGTGAGTGCAACACACCTCTAGCATGTTACCTACAGTCATAAATCTAACAAATACCCTAGTGGCCCGGTCCGCACTTCCACGCCCGTGA